GCTGGAGGGGGCCGAGTGCCTAGGCTCTGTCCACGTGGGTTATCCAGAGCTGTCACGTTCCCTGGGTACCGACAGGGCCGAGACTGACCTTTCTCCTCCAAACCTGCAAGTGGCCGGCCAGTGTGCCAGATCTGACCTCCTCCCCCTCCTCCTCCTCTCCTAAGGCGTTGTCAAACGGAGTCACTAGTGTTGAGTCCTTTTGGCTGCAGGAGCACGGACAGGTCCCCCACGTGAGCGTGCCTGGCACATTGTTTTGCTGGAGCTAACATATTCCCCTCCAGTTCCACACCTCCGTGCAGTTTGCCAAGTCCCTCTCAAGTCCACGCACGGTCTCCACTTCCCCGGAGAGACGCTGGGTCATTTTGCTCACGTGTGCCCATTCTGTTTGCCTGCTGGTGTTCACAGGACTGAGATAGGACAGCGCTTTGACCTAGATTCTTTCAACCTGGGGTTGAAGCTTGGGCAACCTGGCTGCAAGATGTGGGCCTGAATATGAGAGAATGCCAGGTTGCCTTTCCAGAACTAGAGTTTCTGCCTCGTGATGTCTTCAGCCTCTTAAGAAACCTTCCTGGGAAGAAACTGCCCCTCCCAGGGCTGACCACCTCTCAGCCAGCCTGGAGCACACCTGTGGCGTGCAAACCAAGCCATCCAGAGCCCACCTCCTCCGCCTGGCCTGTTCACTCAGGAGCCAACATTCCACCACCTTCATCAACCCAGAGCCCAGCGCCAGATGGCTAGGGGTCACCCCATGGTGTAGATCCCCCGAAATGACCCAGACTCTGCAGCCCTGAGCTCTTCACCACGCCTTGTCCTGCCTTTCCCATAGAAACCAAAAAAAAAAAAAAAAAGGCTTCTGGCCTCATCTCCTGGCCACTCCTGTGGCCTCCCTGTGGCTCTGCACAGCAGCCCCCGACCCCCATCTCCACCTGTGCTGCGCCCCGTGCTGCAGGCTGGGCACAGCTGACGGACATCACATGAACACAAACAACCCCCAGCTGCATAGCGCTTTCCTCCGCACTCACCACAGCTGATTTCATTCTCAGACATCCACTGTGACAGGTGAGGGTTTGTCCCAGCACTCAAACATGGCCGGCCCCGCCCATGCCCCAGGTGGACGTGCCCGGGCTGTGTCCCCTGTTCCAGCTTCCTGCTCTGCTCACCCTGGGAGGCAGCAGGTGATGGATCTCATCGTTGGGTCTCTGTGACCCCCATGGGAGGCCTGGATTGAATTCTGGGTTCCTGACTTCAGCTTCCACCCAGCCCCGAATGTTGCAGGCATCTGGGAGTGATCCTCTGCTCTCCCCTGTTCTCTCTCTCTCAATCTCTCTCTCTCTCTCTCTCTCTGCCTAATAAATATAAAAAACATATTGTTTTGAAAAGAAAAAAAGAGGACTATTTAAATTAAAAAATCCTGGGAGACTGCCCCTGTGCTATGCTGGGGACACCCATGCTCACCGCAGCAACTGTGCAGAGGCCAGAGCTCAGTCCCAGATTGGCTGGCTGCTCCCCAACTCCAGACCCTTTCTGCCATCTTCATTATCTCAGAAACAACAAAAACTGATGGAGGGGCTGCATGAAACACACTCCAAGCTGCCCTTGGGCTGAGAGGCACCCGCCCGCCATGCGTGGTGATGCCCGAGCACCTACAGAACTAAGCAGCCACGAGGCCCGATGCAGAAGCACCTGTCGCGCCCCCATGCCCAGTTCTGCCGAGTTTACTCAATGGCCTCCCACCTCTCGTAGGAGAAGCCATTCTGGAAAGCGGGGTACTATCCTCCCCCAGCCCTGCTCCTTGTCGTCACGACCTGACCACCCCGTGCGAATCCCTGGGAAGCGGAGTTTTGTGTAAACCATGTGTCTAGAGCAGGGGCCTCAGAGTCCCCTTGCAGCAGAAACCTGGGTGGGATTTTGCACCAAGGTGTGTTTGCATTCCCAACAAGCTGGGTGTCCGGCAACCACCCATGACACAGCTGGTGTAGACAGAGCAGCCACACCTCCTGCTGTTCAACTTTGTCCTAGCCAGGGGAATGGAGTCGGCAGCTGTCCTCCCCGTCGGCCCAGCGATGGAGGGACAGTCGAGCACATGAACTGGGCTTGAAATCCTTCCAAGAAAGCAGAGGTGGGCTGCGTGGGGTCCTGGAGAGCGAGCGACTGGAGATTACGTGGGGACGTCTGGGCTGTTTCTCTGCTCTCTCCAAGTGCCAAGATTGGCTCCAGAGGCAGCTGTTAGATATTCATCACTGCAGTACAGGTAGACTCAAGATCATTAAAACTCTCAGGTAATACAAACCTGAGCCTATTGAAAAAAAAAAAAAAAAGGCTCTCAGCTTCTTTCTCCAACACAGCAGTGTCCCTGTAACTGGCAAATGCCATGTTCCATAGACACGATGGTCATAACCTCTATCATTCCCACCAAGACTCTTCTGAGGACAAGGAGAGGCCTTATTAATGATTATAAAGAGAACACTGGGGCCGGCGCTGTGGCTCACTTGGTTAATCCTCCTCCTGCAGTGCCGCCATCCCATATGGCGTTCTAGTCCTGGTTGCTCCTCTTCCAGTCCAGCTCTCTGCTGTGGCCCAGGAGGGCAGTGGAGGATGGCCCAAGTGCTTGGGCCCCTGCACCTGCATGGGAGACCAGGAAGAAGCACCTGGCTCCTGGCTTCAGATTGGTGGAGTGCGCCAGCCGTAGCAGCCATTTGGGAGGTGAACCAATTTCTCTGTCTCTCTCTCTGTCTAACTCTGCCTGTCAAATAAATTAAAAAAAAAAAAAAAAAAAAAAAAAAAAAAAAAAACATTGGAGGCAAAGAAGGTGGTGGAGAATCCCACCAATAAGGGACAAGAAGCAAGGACAAAGGTATATTGGAGACGCCACACCTGCCCTTGCCTTTTCTAACCACCTCAATTCAAGGAAGTTCTGCATGTTGGCTGTGACAGTTGGGAACTTCCAGCCAGCATTTCAGAGTGTGTGTGTTTCTTTTCCCTCCACGTCTCAACCAAGCTGCGAGACAAGGGAGCAAGATGTTTCCTCAGAAGTCTGGAAACCGAGTTTGTCCCAGTCGCCTCGGGTCGTAGGAGGCCTCCGCACCAGCACCAGGCCCAGGGACAGCAACACACACTGCTCGGCTCCGAGCACAACAGTCAGTTAGACACCCAGGTAGACGAAGACGCTCAAGGCCTCGTTAAGCATCGCCTGGGCCTCATCAAAGGCTTGTCCATGGCTGCTTAATGCACATGACCCAGGGTGGCCTCCTCTGCCCTGGGACTTGCTTCGCAAGCGGTTCCTCAGACTGCCGCTTTCAGGGCCATTTTTCCTAGGCCAGAAGACACAGGCCAACAGCTAGTGAGCGGGGAATGGCCCAAAGGGGCAATTTACTTGATCCACAGAGCTGGCTGCACCAACACAGAAAAACTGAGTGCTTTCACATGAAGAAATAATACAAATTACAGGCCAGCGCAGCGGCTCACTAGGCTAATCTTCCGCCTGTGGCACCGGCACACCGGGTTCTAGTCCCGGTCAGGGCACCAGATTCTGTCCCAGTTGCTCCTCTTCCTGTCCAGCTCTCTGCTGTGGCCCGGGAGTGCAGTGGAGGATGGCCCAAGTACTTGGGCCCTGCACCCGCGTGGGAGACCAGGAAGAAGCACCTGGCTCCTGGCTTCGGATCAGCGCGGTGCGCCAGCCGCAGCAGCCATTTGGGGGGTGAACCAACAGAAAAGGAAGACCTTTCTCCCTGTCTCTCTCATTATCCACTCTTTCTGTCAAAAAAAAAAAAAAAAAAAGAAAGAAAAAGAAAAAAAGAAAAGAAATAATACGAATTACAGATAAAATGGATTTTTTTTTAAATCAGAGGTTTCAGCCACAGCACACAGGGTGGGAGTTTACCGGCCAGGCGTGTAAAAGACTCCAGGGCTACAGAAGGGCATGTGCAGGACTACAGTCTGTCCATCAACTAAGCATCAGGAGAACATTTCCAACATTCACAGCCCCCGAGAGGCCCAGTGGCTGGGAAGGCAGCAGTGAGCCGTGACGCAGGGCGAGCCACATGCCCCGGCCTCCAGGGAGTTGCTACTGCAAAGGAAAATGAACGTACCAGAGCCAGGGCACGGCCGCGGCAGCCTCCTGGCCTCCGAGGTCGGCAGGGAAAGCACAGTGCTCAGAGGGCGGGGTGGCCCTGCTGTCCATCACACACCCCTGGGGTGCAGACCAAGGCTTTCCCACTGTTTCCAGAGGCCACGCTGGATCAAGGCTTTCACAGGGCCCACAAAACATAGCATACCTGTGTTCTGATAAAAGAAATGCTGCTCTTATCTTAAACAACTATTGCAAAACAGGCAGGAAAACCCAGTACCTCAGTGCATGCGTTTTGTGAGCTCGAGTACATAAATACATACCAGAACAGACCCGAGACTCCTCGCAAGCAATCTTCACGGGGGCACCTACCCGCGGTTACGTCACCCGCACCCTGCGCTGGAGCACCTGGGTCAGAGGCAGCCTCTGGCCCGTCAGCCTCCCGCAGGCTCAGACCCCGAGAGGCAGCAGTGAGCCCTCGAAGCACTGGGTCCCAGCCAGACCTGGGTGGAATTCCCCCCTCCCCACTCCAGCCGTGGCTCCATCTGGCCATTGTAGGCCTTCGGGGAGAGAGCAGCAGACGGGAGCGCCCTCTCCCCACCACCCCCACTAACTAACTAAATTTTTTACACGCCAAGCATCAATACATAAAACTGAAAAGGAATCTTTAGAGAAACCCAAAGACTATCTCTATGATGTGAAGATTCACTGAAGGACAACAACTGCTGAAATGCAGGTATCGGATTTCCAAATGCTTGCTCAAACCTGAAGCGATGTGTGTCCCAGTCATAAAAGCCTTACCTGTAGGTTCATAAGCTGATCTAAGATTCTATCAAGAATTTTAATAAAATTGTATGCAAAATCAAACAAGACAATTGTTTGCATAATGAATTACATAAGGAAAGTTTTAACTACAAATCAAAGGCAACAAGTATCTGTTCACTTTCTGGTTTATTAAAACATAACTACAGTTCTGTGCTTCTCACAATACATTATCAGGCATAAAAATCAACCGGCACTTCCAAGAAAGTTTTGCTCACAAAATCACGCAGTGTTATTTTACAGTACTTTAGAGTAATTCTTTTTACAAGTTCACATTGCTTCGTAACAGGCGAGCGCTTTCACCCCTCCCACCATGACATTTCAGAACTCCAGCTGTTTAGATGAAGTCAAGCCCCTCTCAAATGCAATCACTCGTCTGTGTTAAATGACTGTGCAGAGGCCAACTCTCAGGTCCCTAAAAAGAGTGTTTTAAAAAACAGGTTGACATCCCATAGTAAGTCTTGTAAGTGTCAATGATAGGGCAGATTTCTAAGTGTGAGAACTATCTGTGGCTAAAAATCTGCATTCAATCAACCAACATTTTCCTCTAGATCTGAATGAAAACCCTAATTACATACCCCAATTAATCCTTGTATTAATTCTGCTACTTTCAGCAAAAAGGCCAGGATCACGGGTGACTGGCCCTTCCATCAAAGAAAGAGCCCCGACCACCTCCAGTACAGTCTTCTGCACTCGTGCTGCCCAGGAGGGGAACAGCCACCCGTCCAGTGCAGCACTGGGCGCCCCAGCACGCACGCAAGCCCTGCCTCGGCGCCCGCTGCCGCTGCTGTCTTCTCAGACAACCACCACGTGTAGGGTCGCCCAGAGTGGCCTCCGGGAGACCCCAGTGAGAGCCCCAGGGGTGCCCCCAGGGAAAAAGGATACTAGTGTCTGCAGTGTGGGGGATGCTGGGTCAAACAGGCTTTTCTGCAGGACGCTGGGCCTCACTGCCCAGTGCACTGGGTCCTTCCACAGGCAAACGGAGTTCCCTGACAAGGAAGCAGCGAGCATTGCAGAGCACCGGACTACCCAGAGCACTGTGGGAGCAGCTCTGCCATCCCGGCTGCCGAAGGTTCCAGTCAGAGCTCCCGCCGGTGCGGGCTCAGATGTACGGCGTTTCTTCCCTCCCCCGTCACTTGCGTAGCTCTGAGAAGGAAGACAGTGCGTTCCTGGTTCTTCGTTCCCGGCACCTCACATCGGTTTTTGCCTTTCTTTTTCCTTGACATCCTGAGAGCGCCAAATGCCTTCTCTTCTGAGTGACACAGGACAGTCTCATTTTCAAAACCAAGTGCAGTGTCGTATTGCTGATGGCTGTTGGTGTGGTCTACGCGGACTCACAGTCTCCCGGGAAGGGCATGCATTTCGGTTTCACAGAAATGCAAGAGTAAACGGTAAGAAATTAGGTACAAGCACCTAGTTTGTCTAACCTTCCAAGGATGCCATTCACTGATGGGAAACAATGAGAACAATCTGGAATCCTTCGTGGGATGAGTTTTTTTTTCCAGTAATGAGGCACTGAAGAATGAGTTGTGCTAAAATTAACTCAAGGGTCAGCTTGTCTGGATGAGCGTAACTTTGGTTGAGATTTTTCTTCCGTAGAAAAGGTTTTTAAAGCACCAGTTAATTACCAGAAGCATGCGCATTCATCCTCACAGTGAGTGAAGTGGCAACACGGCCAGCAAATCACACTCTGCGTTCCCCAAAGCATCCGATCCGTTGCTGGGAAGCAGATCAGCCCGAGGGGAAGGGCAAGCCAAAGCTGCTGCCGCTCCGCTCGGCTGGCCAAGCGGCAGGCAGGGCCGCGGCCTGCACGGGGCGGGCGTCCCCACCCCAGCTTTCCAGCCCGCTCTCAGAGCGCGTAAACAAGCCTTGACTTGCAGTCTAGAGGAAGACAAAAGAGACACGAGGGAAATGAGGGGCTCCCCAGACAAGGACCATCCAGAGGGATAAATAAATAGACTCCCAGGGTTCTTCTACCCGGGAGTAACGGGGAAGGCCGAGTTAAGGTGAGCATCGCATTCCAGAGAGCAGCCGCAGCTGATGATGAGTTCCGGTAAGGAAAACGCGTTTCAAACACAGACCGTGAGAAGAGTGAAGAGGGGGCCACACAGCACAGCGCCACTGCTACATGTGTCGAACAAGACATTTCACACAAGCCAAACACCAAGCAGTCTCCCTCCCTCTCCCAACACACACAGAAAATTCACGAGATTCTAGTAGTGTCAAAAATCCAAGCTTAGCAAAGTACAAACAGAATTCTTGTTACTTTTATATTAAATTCAAAAGAATCTATGCAACATTTATCAGGAAAAAAACTTGATTCCATAATATTCATAATACTGTGGAGCTAGGGGACAATAAATTCTTAGAAAAACTTTCAACATTACATGATCTTTAAGAAATCATCATAATTACCACAACTAACAATTATGTTCCCTGTCACAAAAAGGCACCTACCCATTAGGAACAATCTGTCATAGTATGGTCACTACGTGGCATCGGGGCTTAGGCAGACAACCTACATAAATCTCTAAAGAACCATGGTTTTCTTCTTGAAGCTAACAATCCATCAATGCTTCTGACTATTTACCACTGGGTAGGGCCGGCACATTTGTTGCACAGGTTGTACACTGCGCAACTGGCTGGACGCTCTTAACCTTGACTAGGGTGCAGTGTCGAATCCGTGTGCCATCCAAAGGAGCCCTGGGTCTGCGGCGTACAGGCCAGGCCAACCTGACCACATTAGGACAGCAGCTATGTGGTTTCAGGAGCTCCAACAAACAGCTACAAACTGTGGGGCAGATTCCCCATCGTGGACCAGGAAGGGACACAGACATAAACCTGGAGTCTCTAAATACTTGCTGGTCTTTTAAAATGAAATGGCACTTCTTTTCATGACCAAGTTTCCCGATTTTCTGGCCAGGGTTACCTTGAGTTCTACCAGCCAAATTTACCTCCCGCTGTTCGCTGTATGAGCCCAACACCTCGACTCCTGACCTCCACTAACTAGTGTCTGCTTCCTAACTCTGACGGCACAGGACAGCACGGGGGTTCCTGGGTGTGCGGGATGTCGGCCCATTCTTCGTAGCACACTCGGGGAAGAAAGGTGCCCCACTGGAAACACAGCTGCTAGCGACACAGCCCAGACGAGGGGCTGGGTGAGTCGGGGAGGTTTAAAGAAAGCACTACCCATCAACTCGAAAGCGTACCAGGGAACAACCCGACGGCATCACAGTTCTCACACACAATTCAGTTCTAGAGCACAACTACATTTCTGTATGCATCACAGGAATTAGTCCTTAAAAGTTGTAATGAAAATGTAAATCTTTAATAAATTCCGAAATAAGTTACTGAGATTTCATCTAGCCGTCTACTGAGCAGGAGTCGCAGGTGGAGGCCGAGGGCCGCCAAGTGCCACCTGCAGGCCGCCGTGCTGCACCAGCGTGGGGCAGGTCGCGGGTGCTCGGAGGAGAAGGCACTTGTCTTCCGGGAGGCCACCGTGGGACGGGCAGGCCTGACCACGCGCCGGCGCCCGCAGCTCTGCAGTCCTCGAGTCGGGGCTGGAGCCTACCGTGAACTCGTGCTGTGCCCTTCACCGGCCAGAGGAGCCGCGCTGCCTACAGCACCACGAAACTCAGGATGTACTCTAGGAGTTTTTGCCGGTTGCCTTGAGGTAGAAACGTGCTGCTCAGCTCCAAAACAGACACTCTCTTTTGTTTGGTCTCTTTGAAAACCTGAAGAGAAAGTTTCGATTAAATTAAAGGTTTAAGGGTTGGGGGGGGGGGGGGGGGGCGAGGGAGGGCATTTCCGTCTACAACCCAGACCTGCGGGTCCCAGGACCCTGGAAAGGCGTGGGAAACCACATCCTTAACTAAGTCCATCTCTGTGCGGGGTGTGCACAAGGTAGGGGTTGGGGGGAAGGCCTGGTGTTGTCTGGAGAGAACTCAGCCAGTGTACTGCATGTTCAGATTTATGTTCCAGGAAAATCACAAACAGTCCTTGCAAAGAGGCCACGGAACTCACATTCTACGGACTCTACAGGAAGGTAAAGGGACCTGAGGATATTTCTAGCAAGACTGGCAAAAATACCCCAAAAAAGACCCAAGAAACACAGCCTTCCGTACAAATTGAAAATCAAGCGGAATGAAGTGAAGCCAGAAGTGTAGCAGCATCGTGACACATGCTGGCACCTACTGCCTGTCACCAGCTGGGGAATGAATGTGCAACAGGCAACATCCCAGAACGTTCAACTAACTCTGCCCTGCGTGGCCTCGCCTTCATCCTGCCACTACCCTCACCCCACTCCCAGAAACGCCTTCACAGGTCACCGCTCAAAACTGCTTCCCTTGGGGCCCGGCCAGCTGCCAAGCTCAAGTGGACGAGGTGTAGAAACGAGACACTGACAGGGGCCTCTGTCCCGGAGACGGCGGGCACCTACCCCGATGTCCTTGAACATCTTCACGGCATTCTTCACGAGACAGAACGTGGCACTCTCAGCTGCAGAGACAGAACAGGGACCCATCAGATGCCCAGGCCCAGCCAGACGGGAAAGCCCCCGCCACACACGAGGAAGAAAGCACGGGAGGTGGGGGAGAGGGTGTGACAAGTCCCTGGACCTGGGCAGGTCCACTTCTGCTGCTGGCAACCTAGGGGGTCGCTAATGACGTGCTGGTTTTCAACTGACCTTGTCAACAGTTAAATGAAGAAAGAGGGTCGGGAGAGACAGAAGGGAGGGGAGAGAAGAGGAAGGGAGAAGAAACAAAACACCCATCTTGCAGGGCTTTCACGAGAACTAAATGACACAGTGAATGAATATTCTTTTAAACTACACAATGGGGGCCAGCACAGTGGTGCAGTAGGTTAATCCTCCGCCTTCAGTGCCCCTGCACCTGCATGGGAGACTGGGAAGAAGCTCCTGGCTCCTGGCTTCGGATCGGCACAGCTCTGGCCGTTGTGGCCATTTTGCGAGTGAACCAACGGAAGGAAGACCTTTCTCTCTGTCTCTCCCTCTCACTATCTGTAACTCTACCTCTCAAATAAATAGATAAAATCTTTTTAAAAAATAAATAAATTGCACAGTGACATGCATCCTGGGAACCAGAAAGCGCACAGGCTCAGGGAGCAGAAGGAAGCGTTCTGACTCCAGGTTCGCCGTTACAGAAGCTACTCCACCCCAATCACCTCTTATTAAAAGATGGGTTAGCAGACAACACCAGGTGCTGGTCAGGATGCGGAGCAACTGCGATCACACCAGTGGTGGGAGTGCAAATGGGTTCAACCACCTGGACTCTGCTGGGCAGGGTCCACTAGAGCTGAACAGACCCACAGCCCATGACTGGGCAGTTCCATCTCTACAGATACCCACGCATGGGAACACAGAGGTTCACCCCAAGACATTCCAACGTGTTCACAGCAGCACTGTGCCAGGTTGCTCTGAAGGGCAAACCACCCCCCACATCCGTCAGTGGCAGCCGAATCAGTAAATGTGGAACAGTACACAGCAACCAGAACAACTACATGCAACACGCCTGAGTCTTACAAACACCAGTAAGTGAAAAGAGCCAGACACAACAGTATATGAGTAGGCTACCATTCCATTTACATAACATACCAAAGCAGATAATAGCAATAATCTATGGAGTTAGAGGTCATGATAATTTTGCCTTTTTCCAATTTTCCACAATTAGCAGATTTCTGTAATCAAAAAAAAAAAAAAACTCTTTAAAGAAATCAAAATGGTGACTTGACATACCATACACTGCAACATTTCTTTCTGTTCTGGTTATTAGGTATTTGTGCAACTTTTGCAGGTATTCAGGCTCCGAAACAGGGCCACTGAAGTTGTGAACAAAGATGGCGGCAGAGCTGTAGGCCTCCAGCAGAGGCCCCAGGAGTCTCTGTAAGAAGCTGATGAACTGCTGGTGCTCCTTGGACTGGCTCACCTGAGTGCAAGAGCAGGAGAGGAAGTCACGCGGCAGTCACGGGCAAGGACAGCAAAGCAAGCTCCTGAGGCTTCCTTTGGGCCAGGAACTTGGGGGATGGGCACTCCCAGCAGCACAGCATAAAACGTGGCCTAGTACTCCTCGTGCAGACTCCCTACTGGAAACAGCCGGCTCAGAAACACGCCCTTTATTCTAATCATGCCCTTCTACAGTATGTGAGACTTGCATTCACAGAACAGCTGCCTGGGAGAGATTTTCATGGCTCAATGACACATAATCACCACCAGAAATAGCAGGTCCTCGGGCTGCACCCTTCAGGGCTTGCAGTGTGGGCTTAAGTGAGCAAAAAGGCTGTAGGCTGGACTGCATGGATCAGCTCTGTCCTCCCTCAGCTCCTCCCGGATCAGCTCTGTCCTCCCTCAGCTCCTCCTGGATCAGCTCAGTCCTCCCTCAGCTCCTCCTGGATCAGCTCCATCCTCCCTCAGCTCCTCCTGAATCAGCTCAGTCCTCCCTTCTGGATCAGCTCCATCCTCACTCAGCTCCTCCAGGATCAGCTCAGTCCTCCCTCAGCTCCTCCAGGATCAGCTCAGTCCTCCCTCAGCTCCTCCAGGATCAGCTCAGTCCTCCCTCAGCTCCTCCTGGATTAGCTCAGTCCTCCCTCAGCCCCTCCTGGATCAGCTCTGTCCTCCCTCAGCTCCTCCTGGATCAGCTCCATCCTCCCTCAGCTCCTCCTGAATCAGCTCAGTCCTCCCTCCTGGATCAGCTCCATCTTCCCTCAGCTCCTCCTGGATCAGCTCAGTCCTCCCTCAGCTCCTCCTGGATTAGCTTCATCCTCCCTCAGCCCCTCCTGGATCAGCTCCATCCTCCCTCAGCTCCTCCTGGATTAGCTCAGTCCTCCCTCAGCCCCTCCTGGATCAGCTCCGTCCTCCCTCAGCCCCTCCTGGATCAGCTCTGTCCTCCCTCAGCTCCTCCTGGATCAGCTCCATCCTCCCTCAGCTCCTCCTGGATCAGCTCAGTCCTCCCTCAGCCCCTCCTGGATCAGCTCTGTCCTCCCTCAGCTCCTCCTGGATCAGCTCAGTCCTCCCTCAGCCCCTCCTGGATCAGCTCAGTCCTCCCTCATCTCCCTCCTGGATCAGCTCAGTCCTCCATCAGCTCCTCCCGGATCGGCTCGGTCCTCCCTAAGCTCCCACACTCTGCCTCCCTGACCTGGCCTTCACCCTTGGCCCAACACTGTGAGGAATGACGGCCACACTACACCACCTATAACCTGCAGGTTCGTGTAAGTACCTGTGCCATGGGGAAGCAAGATGACACCCAATCTCAATGCTAGTAACTTCCAAATGGAAACGGGAATCTCAAAGTCACTGGAATCTCTAGCGACCACACCCTCTAACTGGCTGACCGTGAGTGTAACCCGGATGTGCTAGCCATTGTGAGCAGAGCCATCCACCCACAGTCTTCAGAACAGATGGGGCATCATTACTAATTTCTAAAACTACAATTAGACAAAATTGATTTTTCTATGAGTTAATGACAACCGATCTTTGGACAATCAGAATTTTCTCCTATAACAGGATGTTTTAGTTTAAGGCAGAGGGTTCGATGTATCAAATTTTGGGAGCGGTGGCAAGGCTGAGAATGACTCAGCAAGAATAACCAGGGCCAGTGGCTGACACTACAGAGAGACTGCCTCATAGGCGGAGGTCCAGCGGAGGGCAGGCACCTGTGAATCCCATGAGAGCACGCTGCGAGACGCCACCAATGACACACCAATGAAGTCCACCTGCCTGACTTGCTACTTCCATTTCCTTTTCCATTTGCCCATCCCCAAAGGGGACAGTTTAGAGGCATCACCATAACCCAAATAGTCTGAGCATCCTTCCCCCACAGAAGGTACCAGATTTAGATATGCGTCACCAGTCCCAGATTAGCTATTTGTGACATACATCTCAGCTGAGCATTATAATGTCCACCAGAATTCTGCACCGAAGTACCTTCAAGTAGCAATCTCGCTGCTCCTCACCAAAATCACTGTCTTCATCTTCTTCATCACTTCTCCATGACAAAGGTTCTGGAAGTTTCTTATCCCACTGTTGCTCACCAAGACCGGGACTGATATCTTCCTGTTCATCTTGCTATCCCAAGGAAATGACCAGTAATGAATAAATAACACATAAACACTTGCCCAACTGGCCCTAAGACAGGGCAGCCCTCTGCCCAGCGTCTCTCCGACTCGCCCACCTAGCCATTCATGGGGCAGTCCACTTCCCTCTCGAAACTCACGTTTAGATGCAGGGAAGGAACAGGGCACAGCTGCCAGGTAGATTAAGTCAGACTGGCCTCGCATCTTGCTCTCTGCTCTCAAAGCTACACCCCACACACACACAGCAGATCCACCAAAATCAAAACAAGATCTCGAGAGAAAGACGAATGTGTACGAATGCCAAGGACACTGACATAGGAAACGGTGCCCTCTTAGAACGCAAACTTACGGATGCCACAGACCGAAGTCAAGGTATGACTTACAAACCACTGAGACAAAAGGAAGAAAACAAGGCACTCATTCTCCCTATTCTTGCTTTTCTGCTCTCTTCATCTGGACATGATTAAGCAGCAAACGTCACTGCTTGCTAACATAAATGATACTCATAGAAATACAGGAACTGAAGAGCAAGAAACTAAACGAGGACAAGCACAGGCAAGGGCTTGCTCTTACCTCCGCCACAGTGAGAATGCCGTACTGGATGAACTTTCCCACTGTCTCATGGCAAACTTGGTAAAACGTCTGGCAGGGCTGAAAAGAGAAGTTACTCAGCTGTAAATGTCACTCTTCAGTATTTCATTTTTTAAAAACAAAAAGGAAAAAAAGCTGTGCAAGGGACCTGCTAAAAACAAGGAGACTTTAAAAGACTCATGGAGAAAGGAAACGTAAGTCTACTTTAATACAAAGTGTCTAGGCAGAGTGCTTTCATAATACACATTTTCCATGAATTCTCTTGAAGATCCCTTGTATTTATTCCCCTGGGCAAGCCCTAGGATTGCCGACATCCACCTTCTTGATAAGTACTCAGTCACAGGCACAGCCCAAGAGCAGACCTCTCTCCATGACTGCCCAGGGAGTGCTGGGGCTCCATTCTGTCCCCACGCAGAGCAAGCCCACTGAAGAGCTGTGTGTCAAGCCCCAACCACCTGTTCCTTTTTCTTTGTAAGACAATTCCTAGGGGCCAGAGCTGTGGTGCAGCGGGTTAACGCCCAGGCCTGAAGCGCCGGCATCCCATATGGGCGCTGGTTCTAGTTCCAGCTGCTCCACTTCCGATCTGGCTGTCTGCTATGGCCTGAGAAAGCAGTAGAGGATGGCCCAAGTCCTTGGGCCCCCGCACCCACATGGGAGACCTAGAAGAAGCTCCTGGCTCCTGGTTTCGGATAGGTGCAGCTCTGACCGTTGAGGCCAGTTGGGGTGTGAACCATCGGATGGAAGACCTCTCTCTCTCTTTTTCTTTCTCTCTCTCTCTCCTCTCTCTGTGTAACTCTTTCAAATAAATAAATAAATCTTTTTTTAAAAAAAAAGACAATTCCTAGGCAAAAGCGATCTTACAGTACTTACCATACAAAAAGTGGTGAATGAGAAGCACAACATTCAAATAACTCAAAAAAGACCCAGGGAAAGGATGAGGTCCACGTGAGGAGCCGTGTCAGCCCCCATCCGGCCCACCCAGGCAACCAAGGCTCATGCAGAACAGACTCTCCAACGGGACCACCAGCAAACCAGAATCAAGGAAGCCCCGGAGGAGGGCTAGACTCACACACATTCATAAACATCCCAAACACATTCACAAGGATGGGAAGAGAATATCAGAATCCACAGAAAATACCAATTCTACAGGGGAGGGGAAATCAATTACATAATGCATATGCCTCATTATAAATATCTAAAAGTCTGGGATGTAATATAAAGGCTCCCTAGCACTCCTGGGCTTTAGTCTCCTCATTTATAGATTAACAGGAGGCTGAAGTAGTGATTTTCCCATCAGTAGTTCCATCCTCCACAGGTTGGACTGTTGATTATTTACAAGCTACTGACCCAGTGCTTTCTGCACAGTGAAAGCTCTGTGACTCTGGCTCTGACCTCTGGGAACACTGGGCAATTGGTCCTGTCACACCTCATGGCTGCAGGTGGGACTCACTGGTACAGCGAGCCAGAAAGCAAAGCGAGGTAGGAAATGGCACGTGGCTTTGGTAGTCACAGAAACCTACAAAACTTTATGTTCAGTAGGAGTAGAACCTGAAGCTTCAGTAACAGACCAGTGATTCTTAGACAGATACATGAGCGGTTTCCATCTTCACTCAGGGGAGAGAACGCACACAGGGAAGAGCCTCCACTCACGAGAGAGATGCTGCCCTCATTGGAGAGCAGGTAGCACAGGCTGGCGGCCTTCCGCACCAGCTGCTCCTGGCTGACCAGGCCGGCAGGGACGCCCACAGGCCCTCCAGAGCCCCTCTTGTTCAGGACCGCGTAAAGACTGCAGGCTGCGGATGCAAGCAACAAAGAGTCACCAGCTATGGTCTCCAGGGAATGCTTCCTCTGGCTCAGATAACTCGTATTACCTGGTCGTTGATACACCAGAACCAGTGCTCTGTGGATGCTGGGGAAATTTCAGTAAAGCCCAACAGGATCCAATTCTCATGAGACCACGTGACCCAAACTCCCTCAAAGTTGCCAAGAATTTTAGTCCCTTCTGCCTCCTTCATCTGCATTCTCTTAACTACAAGATAATTGGTTCTCTTTACTGCCCTGCCTATGTTTCACCTCAACTAAGTTTTCAGCTCCCGCATAGCAAGGCATAGCAAGGCATAGCAAGGCACAACAAGGCATTGTCTCTCAGGAAGTGTAACACTAGGCAACAGTAACCCATTAACTATTCCTTGTAGATGTAACTAGTGACAAAGCAGATTGCATTTCCGTCAGAAAGCTAAAAATATAGCAATGTGTTCCATCCATGGAGGCACTACCATCCAAAGTGAAGTAGCCACCACTATGGGCTGCCACCCTTGTATTCTCCAGGGCCCGATGTACCTATGATGGCCTCCATGATAAAAACATGGAGGACGCCGTTGCTGTAGAAGTTGAGCTCAAAGACGGAGGGGATAGTTGTGCTGGGAGTGATAAAGAACTCATCGTTCCTGCTGGTGGGGGTGATGGCGACACAATTTCCCAGCAGCTGGATGGCATGCATGACGACGTCTTCGGAATTTCCTGAGAACCCCAGGTCAAAATCACGGGCCAGAACTTCCTCCTTCATCACAAAGAAGTCTTCCACCAACGTGGAGAGATCAATTCCCTGAAGAAGAGACACGAGTGATCTGCGACAGCAGAGCACCTATTTCCTCAAGGCCGAGAGGCCAGAATCCCAAGGATTTTCTTCTTGCCTTGGTTTCCTGCAGCTCGCTGTTGGCACTTACAGAAACAGGGCCTGAGCACTCATGCAGAACAAGCCAGAAAACATCTTACAAGGCTGGTCCTACCAGAATGTCAAAATATTCCACACTCCAAAGACCACTCAAGCCAGGACACATGACATGAGCATGGAAGACCAAAAGAGGGGAAAAGACAGCTCACAGCAAGAAGTGCTAGGTTTTAGCAAGATATTCCTGTATTTTAAATATTTATCTGACAAATATTTACTCGGTGCCTACAAATACTGGCACTATGTTTGGTGTTGAGAACATGACTATGCACCAGATATGGTGTCCCCCATCACATACATTAGACAAGTGGATTGTGGGAGGGTAGACAACGGGTTCTAAAACATACACCAATCACTTAGAAATGGGTTCCTCGTGGGGAACCTGGCGCTATACCAATCGTAGAGGACCTGCTTCTGGGTCAGGGTTTCGTATGTAGCAGAGCAGCTCCCTCACTGCGATCTATTGAAAGTCAGCCCTCGACACAAGGGTTAAAAAAAAAAAAAAAAGAAAGAAAGAAATGGGTTCCTATCACGACACATACCTCAAGTCAGAAATATACTTTATTTACATTAATCAAAGAATGTCTTATTACTATATTTATAAAGCAGTCGCATTTGTTTTTCATGCAGATTCTCTCCTCCATCAGACCTACAAGCTCCTCTGAGCAGGGTCCTTAGCTTATTTTGTGGTTTATCTCACAGTACTAATCAGGAGGGGCCAAACTGCTCCCTGAATAAGTCTTGAACAGCCAGCACTGAACTTCAGGGGACACTGTAGACGTACCTGCCTGTGTCGGTAGAGCAGCAGGCAGGCCACGATGTGGGTGGACATGATGGCACAGGACTTGCTAGCAGCTGCAAGGCAAACACACAGCTTTATTTGCATGTTCTCTTAATACAGCTCACACTTCTAAGCTAGTTACTTGAAACACAGTATAATAACTATAGAATTCCTTTGCCACAGTTCCCAAAACCTAGATTCACCAAAAGGCAGTGATAACATCACAGAGCTCCGGTCTAATGGAACCTCATCAGAGATCACGGTTCATTATGTCACAGTCTAAGACTGGTCCACCTTCACTCCGGGCTGAGATTAACAGAACGAACATCCAAGAGACACCTTCATTAAAAAACCAGCATCCAAAGAGGGAGGCTGTTCTGGGAATGTGCTCCAGGCTACCCATTTTCGTGTGTCTGAACTTGTTCCTGTCTGCAGCTGATACCTGCAACACTGCCTCACTCTTCTAGTAGCTACTCATCCCATTAAAATGAAGGTGTAAAAGTCAGAAAAAAGGCAGATCTGAAGTCAGCCAAGTCTGGGCTCAAATCCTAATCTCTACACTAATTAATTTCATGACTTGGGCAAATGACTTAAATTTCTGAGGTTTGGTTTCCTCATGGGTACAATGAAAACACCAGCCAGCTCAGTGAGCTGAGAGGGAAATGATGGCCTGGCACAAAGCTTCTAGGACTAGGTGCTCAATATATTTGCAGTTCCTCTTTCCAACCTGGCCCAGAGGTAAGGAAAGACGGGGAAAAACATATTTAAGAATGATGGTAGGGCATAATGCAACACTTTGAATTCACAGAAAATGATAATCGTAGAAATCAAGTATGAGCTCATCCATGGAATAATCGGAATTAAAGGTATCGTTTGTGACTTTACTGAGAGATGACAATGAATCCATGAAAACTGCACTCTTTTTTCTTTTTTTAACTTATTTGACAGGTAGAGTTATAGACAGTGAGAGAGAGACAGAGAGAAAGGTCTCCGTTCCGTTGGTTCACTCCCCAGATGACCACTACAGCCAATCCGAAGCTAGGAGCCACATGCTTCTTCCTGGTCTCCCATGCGGGTGCAGGGCCCAAGGACTTGGACCATCCTCCACTGCCCTCCCAGGCCACAGTACAGAGATGGACTGGAAGAGGAGCAATCGGGACTAGAACCTGGCACCCATATGGATGCCAGTGCTGCAGGCGGAGGATTAACCAAGTGAGCCACAGCACCGGCCCGAAAACTGCACTCTTAACTGAAGTTGTCTTCAGCGTACTAAAAAAAATCCAGGACTGTATTTATAACCATTAAAAGGAAATGTTATATTTAGTTTCTTAAAGCATTTGTGTTATAAGTGGAACACACTTATAAAACTGTATAAAATGTTTTTGGAGACCAGGGAGCAATGATGCTGGTTATTTAAGTACTTGCTACCTGTTTCATCTTTTGACAATCAGGAAGTATTATTTTTCACATCCAGATTTTAGGCCGGGGAGAGACACAAACAGATGTGATAGGAAAGAATCTTCCAGTCTAGAGGCAGGAGGGAGAGGGAGCAGCCAGAGCAGAAGCAGCAAGAAGAGGGAAGGAAGCCCACACCACAGCATGGCAGGAAGTGGGAAATCTGACCACGACCGGGGCCCAGGGGCCTGGAAGAGACCCCCATCCCCTGCAGCTGACCGCCAAGGGACCACGGTGCTGCCTCAGCATCTTACAGCAACCTCTCCCACAGGACACACGGCTGCGACTTGGAACTCAATGAAGGTTAGCCTTGCATTCAACCCCACTTGGCGCTGGGCCTCTCCCACTTGAGTCATTTGTGTACGACTACTTCACTAAGAACAGAAGCTCTTGGCGTGCAGAACCACTCATATCCAATCTGCAGTCCCAACAGCTAAAACAAAGCTTTACCCATAAGAGCCACTCAATATTTGCTGAATAAAAGCACTCCTGGCGTCAAAGGAGAAAGGAATATGCAACTGTAAATCTAGATATTGTAGCACAAATTAGCTCAAAACACATCTTCATTAGCAAAAGAGGCCATGAGGCATTTTGATAATAATAGTTTACAAAACACAAGAAACACAAGAATATTGGCACCTTCTAATGAGCAGAAACCAGGTAAGATATTTTATGAATATCCTCTCAAATCCTCACAATATCCCCTTCTGTCTAATATCCTAAGTATCACCACTGGGGAATATTGGTAATAGAACTGGGCGTGGAAAGCAACCTCAGCGGATTCCAAAAGCTGTGTGGGGTGGACTGCACCGCTCTGCCCACGAGCTGTGAGATCACAGGATGGGGTCCTCCACTCACTGAACAGAATGTGCTCGGCCAGATTTGCAATCAGCCTCCTGCGGAAGGACTCATCGGCGACGTTTCTGGACTCACTCACGGACCCATCGACACCTTCATCGGCAGCATCGTTGGGTCTGAAAAGGTTTTGGAAATTAGCCTTGAACAATTCCACTCTATTACACAGTAAATCATGTGGGATTAATCCACAAAGGTATGAGGTACTGCCAATTAGGAGATTTTAAATCTGAACAATAAATAAATTATTCCTATAGACTGTTCTCCTCCATAACATACTTTATTATGCTTGAAACACTCTCCTGGCCAAATTATGCTCTTTAGTTGTGAATAAATTAACTGTTGGTGTATCACTTCCAAAATCTACAGGCAGAAAGAATGCATAAAGGATGATGCCTCCTTTTATAGCACATCCAAAATGTCACCACTTTCATGGAGCCGGCATTGTGGCCCAGGAGGTGGGACCCATTGCCTATGACCCCAGCATCCCATATGTCAGTGCCAGTTCCCAGTCTGGCAGCTCTACCTCTGATCCAGCTTCATGCTAATGCAACTGTAAAAGCAGCATATGAGGCCCTAAGTGCTTGACCCCTGCCACCCCTGTGGGACGCCTAGATGGAGTTCTAGCAATCAGCCTGGGCCAGCCCTGGCCATTGCAGCCATCTAGGGAATGAACCACCAGATCGAAGACCTCTCTCTCTCATTCTCTCTCTCTCTCTCTCTCTGTATATGTGTGTCTTTCTCTCCCTTTTTCTTTCACTCTGCCTTTCAAATATATCTTTAAAAAAAAAAGTTAACATTTCCACACATTAAAAGAAAAGCTTCATATTGAACTTCTCTAGATGATGATTCAATTTGAATTATGGAAAATTCAAATAGCAAAACTCTTTTATGTTCCATTTATGTACAATTTGTATAACCTAAGCTACCACCAAAAATAATTCAACTCAAACACTCAGAAGCATAAATCAAATAAGAACTCCTACATGAGCCATAAAAATGATAAAGATTTCACATGTGAATAGTGAAAAGTTTCCAAACTCATACAAAAACAGATCATTTCAATATCCTTGATCAAATCAAGAGAAAAGTTACTCCCATGAGGAAGGGAATGAGAAGATGCATATTCTTCATAAAGTTAACCACGCTTTGGTGCAGTGAAACAATAATAAGATATTTGATAGCTTAGTTGGTATAAAAATTTCTGCAAATCTTACCTGGAAGGAAGTATAGCTGGTAGCAGGGCTTGTTCCAGAGAAAGTGGAGCCGTCACAGGTTTCAGACTTTGGCTTTCTAAATACTCCTGGAAAAACAATATATAACATGATCAGTACTCTCACTGTCTGTTGCTAAATATGACATTCAAGAACTGAACACATAAAGAATAGAATGATGCTTAAACAAAATTACTGAAGCCTCCATAACATACATTATTATGCTTAAAACACTCGCCCCGGTCTAGAGCCGTGTGTTGGTGGGAGACTCAGGGAGCCCCACTTTGGGCTCAGGCCTCTTTGGCAGGGCAGGAAACAGAGGCCCCAAGTCACACAAAGAGGTGGCGCTTGAGCCACCTGACTGCAGGCTGAGTTTGGGATGCAGCTGCATGCCTGCAAACACTCACCTTTAAGGAAAACGGCTGTGCAAAATCCACACGGACGTAGCCGTAGTTTTTCCGTAACATCCTAATGACACCTCTGGCTACACTCCAAAGGCTCTCGTTCTTCTTAGGTTTGCCCTAAATACCAACGTGAAAAAAATAACAGTGACAAACAAAGCTAACATACACAAACACTCTGCTATCCAAGAATAATTTTTTTCCAATTTTATTAATTTTGAGAGGCAGAGAGACAGAGACAGAGAGAGAGATCTCCCATCCACTGGTTTATTCCCAGTACCCACAGCAGTGGGGATTCAGCAAGGCAAAGCCAGGAGCTGGGAATTCAATCAGGTCTCCCACATGAAGACTAGGAACCCAAGGACTGGAAGACCTCATCTCTGTCTCCTAGGGTACCCATTAGCAGGAAACTGGAATCAAGAACCAAGTTGGGCCTGAAACCCAGACACACTGATATAGGATGTGTCCCAAGCACCATCTTACACCACCATGCCAATGGCCCACCCCCTAACTTTTTTTTAATGAAAACTGGGGGTTCATTGAGAAAAAGACAAGAGTGAATGAAAGGGGAAAAGAAGTGTTAGTAACTGAGGCTGTCAGGCAATGTCCAGTATTCAGAGATGCTAGGAAATGTAACGTCATTATGAGCGGTAATTCAGTCAAGATGCATGTGGCACTAGTGCATCAGTATAATGTTCACATAATTTTAAAAAATGCAACTGTAACTGGTGAACAGCCTGGAAAACTGTTCTGCAGTTCTCAGACAAAAACAAGATGTCAAATGGGTCCCTTATCTGAGATCTGATCATCAACATAAAGCAACTAATTCAACGCCAAATCCAAGCTCACAGTGGACTTTGCGTGAATTACCCATCCCAGAAACGTGACTGAGCACTGGTTATGCTACACATGCAGCATGATGACAGGCTACAGAATGGACACAAGGTCTCAGACATGACCTCATGAGACAGGATGGACTGGGTATACAAGACCAATCCTCCAACAGAAGAGAGTGCCAGCTGGCGCCGCGGCTCACTAGGCTAATCCTCCGCCTTGTGGCACCGGCACACCGGGTTCTAGTCCTGGTGGGATGCCGGATTCTGTCCCGGTTGCCCCTCTTCCAGGCCAGCTCTCTGCTGTGGCCAGGGAGTGCAGTGGAGGATGGCCCAAGTGCTTGGGCCCTGCACCCCATGGGAGACCAAGAGAAGCACCTGGCTCCTGGCTTCGGATCAGCGCAGTGCGCCGGCTGCAGCGCACTGGCTGCGGCAGCCATTGGAGGGTGAACCAACGGCAAAAGGAAGACTTTCTGTCTCTCTCACTGTCCACTCTGCCTGTCAAAAATAAATAAATAAATAAAAAATAAAAAAAAAAAAAGAGGAGAATGCCTGCAGAAAACAGCCCTCATCCATCACATCCATCACTTGGGTTTTAAAGGCTCTCGTTGTCAGAGCAGGTGTTTAGCCTAGTGGTTAAGGGACCTGCATCCCACATGGGAGTACCTGGGTTCAATTCCTGCTCTGGCTCCTGACTCCAGCTTCCTTTAATGCAGATACTGGGGACAACATTGATAGCTCAACTTAACTGGATTCCTGAGACCTGGATTGTGCTCCTGGCTCCCAGCTTCAGTTCTGGCCCTGCCTCAGCCATTGTAAGCATCTGGGGAGTAAACCAGAGGATGGGACCTCCATCTGTGTCTCTGTTTCTGTTTCTCTACCTTCCCGCATAACTATCTATACTCCTCAAATAATTTTTTTAAGTTTCCAATTGTTATGTATTCTTGAACTTGTGACACATTTTAACAGTAAGCTTCAAACAAGTATCTTGCCCAAGACTTCCTCTTAAATAAGAACAGAACTAAATTTCACTAGAAGTCTCATGCTGCTGGTAAGTGGTAAGTTGGTAAGACCATTTTGGTAAAGCGTTCGACAGTGTTTACTAAAGCTGAGCGCACATATACTTTGTGACTCGCTAGTTCCACTCCTAGGCACATACCAACAAAATGTGGTATGTGGCCATTAAGAGAGAAACACGTCCCACTGCTCATGGCCAAACTTGTTTTCAAACAGCATGAAAAACAGATTGAGACATACTCAAGCACTGGAATACTGTGCTGCTGCAGAGTAAGTGAACCACAACCACACATAACAACATGGGTGACAGCTCAAAAAAATCTCCTTGAGCAAAGGAAATCGGACACAGAGAGACCATACTGCACATATCCCATTTATAGAAAGTTCAAAAATTGGCAAAATGAGTCCAATAAGTGGCTCTCTATGAGGGACTGCTGATAGAAGCAGAGAGGTTTGCTAGGCTCCTAGGACTATTGCTTCATCTGGGTGCTGGTTACACAGGGACCATCACACCGTAACCACTCAAGCTCCATGCAAGAGATCTGCATGCTCCTGTTACTACTATACATCCATCCAAAGTTTACTGGAAAAAAAACACTGCCACTTTAAAAATTACTCTAGCGGCTGTAATGATATAACCCACCAGTTCTTCAGGTTTCACTCAAAATTTGCACAGAAATAATAAGCTCTGGGGAGAAAGACTCAAGGATAATCCCCACAATAGACACGGAAACTCAGGAGCAAGCGTTCCTTCATTCCCAGCCCCATGACCGAGGCTGGCATGGATTAATCCAATCACACCGCTCTCTCCAGGCACAGGGAAAACCAGCAGAGCACTGAGCACCTCACCGTGCCCACCGACCACATCCCATGCAGCGCTTTCAAACTAGACGCTACCAAAACCAGCAAGCCTTAGTGGATTCTAAAAGCAAATGCAAACTACAAAAGCTAAATTGAAACCTAAGGCTGGAAGAGAGAAGCGGACTTCCGCGTAGGCAGTGCCCTTACCAGTTGTTCCCCGTTGTAATGACCTTCAATGATGCGATCGTAGGAGATCCCCACAGGGATTATCAGGATATCTGGGATGGTATTGGTAGACAGAGTGTCAACCACAACTGACAGAAGTCCTGCCCGAGCACAGGATGTTTTTCCACTCCGGGAGCGTGTGCCTTCCAGAAAAATCTCCAGGAACTGCTGCTGGCGGAGTAGTTCTACTATATGCTGGGAGACAAGGAGAAAGTGAAATACGAATTTGAACCAGAAACAAGACTGTCCAAACTAAAATGAGCTCTGGGAAATTAAATCTTAAAACCCTGTTCACTATGGACAGAATATTTTCTCTTCACCCATAACTGCAAAGCATCTTGTCCTACACTATGTTTTGATAAAAAAAAAAAAAAAAAAAACCTCATGGGATCTGGCACTGTGGTGTGGCAGGTGAGGCCATGCCTGCAGTGCCAGCATCCCATGTGGACACTGGTTCAAGACCCGGCTGCTCCACTTCTGATCCAGCTCTCTGTTGTGGCCTGGGAAGGCAGTAGAAGATGGCCCAAGTCCTTAGGCTCCTGAACCCAAGCCAGGGACCTGGAGGAGGCTCCTGGCTTTGAACCAGTGCAGCTCCAGCAGTTGAGGCCAACTGGGGAGTAAACCAGCAGATGAAAGACCTCTCTTTCTCTCTCTATGTAACTCTGACTTTCAAATAAATCAATAAATCTTTCAAAAAAAAAAAAAACTCATGACTCATGAAACAGTCACTTAGAAATCTCAACTCCACTGAGTCTCCGTTTCCTTCCATTGTGACAACCAACACGATGGCCATGAGGTTGTAGGGACCATACGTACCCCGTGCAGCAGGGCTCTGTAAAGGATATCTTTCCGTCCGTCTGGTGTTTCATCTAGCCTCCGGCGTATGAAAAAACCCCCGAGCTTATGGATCAAAGTACTAGAAATTCAAGAATGCATGAATTATTCACAAAGAAAAATGTAAAAAGGATGCTCAAATTCCAAGGTACTCCAAAACATCTGTCATTCGAATACAAACCATATGTGTCATTTGAGATGCTGACAGTGAAAACACAGATATTTTTCCATTTTCCACACTATTGAACTATTTTACCCATTTACATTATTCATAAGCTTTTGGAAAATGGCTGCACATAAATAAGTTCTATTTCATCTCTGCCAAGTCAAAAGGAATTGGCATGATGTACTACCCCACAGGGATGACGATACAGATTCCAAAAGGATTAGGAGACACTTCTAGATTTTAAAACCCTGGAGTGTCAAGACACCAGCTCTTAGACCAGCTGAAGAGTGTCCCCAGCATGTGTACCACAAAATGAACATGCTACAAAAGCTCCTTGGAGGAAATCTTCCCAAAGAATTGCTTAGAGAAGGCCCCTGTGAAATAAGGATGATCCTGTCAAACTGAAACCAAGAATAACCATCTTTCCAGACCACAAACTCAAAATCTGCTTCATCCACCCAAACACAGCAATAAATTAATTCTTTTCACAACCCCATGTCTCTTTTTACAACACTGATGAATTTTTATTTGAGATTGAGATTTTCTAAGTCAACTTTAACAAACTCACAACCTCTTCCTATTCTTTTCAAATACAGGGATATTAACATAAAGCTTAATTTACAATTTTGGTTTCCTCTACAGTCAGTTTAAGGAAACCTCAGTAAGACATGCACAAAACTTAAGAGCACTCTGTCAGTAAAATGCTGCAGAATAAATTCACAGTGCATGAGAGGCACCATCCACAAAAATAGCACACCCTGAGAAGTGGAGAGTGTGTGGACCAGAAAGGAAGCTCCTGAACAGGCCAGGTACCTACAGCGGGCTGTGTCTGAAGGAAAGGAGCTATGCAATCACTGCACAGAGTTCACAGGAGAGAACCTGGATCACGGGAAGATGCTGGTATTTACTATGCACTTCCAAGAGATCCTAGCCGTGGGGAGAATGAGTAATGGGGTATTCTGATGACGAGGGGCCAGCTTCTCCAGAGCCTCTGCTCTTCACCCCAGAGCACTGCTCCTCACTTGAAGTCTACCAGCGACTTACTGATGAATCTGTAATTCAGCTTCCCAGGCTCCCTGAAGAGGTTTCTTAGGAAGAGGTGACTTGGAGAGTAAACAAAGATATTCTAACCCCTAGAAAGCACTTCTACCCTGTAGATTCATATCACATTGTAGTATCACGATACTCCATTAGATTCTGCGCTATTTGAAGGCAGGTATGATGTGTATTTTCCATTCTTATCTAAATCACAGTTGGATAAGTATCATTGACTATGGTGGCAGCATTGTGGCACAGCAGGTAAAGCCACCACCTGCAATGCTAGCATCCCATATGGGTGCTGGTTCGAGACCCAGCTGCTCCACTTCTGATCCAGTTCTCTGTATATGGCCTGGGAAAGCAGCAAGGACTGCCCAAGTGTTTGGGCCCCTGCACCCATGTGGGAGACCTGGAAGAAGCTCTGGGCTCCTGGCTTTGGCTTCGCTCAACCCTGGCTGTTGTGGCCATTTGGGAAGTGAACCAGCAGATGGAAGATCTCTCTCACTGTGTCTCTCCCTCTTGCTCTGTAACTATGCCTTCCAAATAAATAAATAAATCTTAAAGAAAAAAAAAATCACTGACTGCACAAATGGTTTCCCTGAAGCTGGCTGGCACACACTCTGAAATCCTACAGAACCCTGAGCCAAGAGATTTGCGAGGAGCTTCTTGGATTGTGAGGCTGGGGGCCAGTCTTTGCAAAGGTGATGAGCGCCACCCTGTGAGGCCTACCTGAATAACCTGCCAGCCCACTGCCCTCTCAATCTCTCTCCAGATTCATGCTGCTTATTGCCTCTCTATTTGAAGATCTGACCTTAAAGGTGACTTTTGCTTTTAAGTCTGAAATGTCAGTTTCCAAAGCCAACTCAACCTACTTCTCACCAACCCCTTGTTGGGGATCAGATCCACTACTTACCCTGTTTCCTATACGGTGAGCATCTGGGTGTCTTCCCTACACCTCTCCCCATCTTGTGAGCCTCACAAGACTAGCACTGCATCTTACAAGTTCAACTTATCAAACACATTTCAAATCTACAACCTCCTCTCCAATAGTATTACTATACTTTTAACTGAAGACCTATACTCTTGAGGAACAGTGATTTTTCTACTTACTACTTAGTGAATTCTTTATGTAATAGAGTATTAAGCTTGTGATTATAAAGAAAATTCCAAGTGTGTCATTGCAAAAATTAAAAGAAAAATAATAAAAGAAGCAAGAGGGAGGGTAGGATGGGAAGTATCACTATATTCTTAAAACTGTACTATGAAATACATGAGATTTGCTCCTTTTATATAAATTTTTGAAAGGAAAAAAAAAAGACCTCATTAGCCTTTTCCTGGACTTCTGTAACAGAATCAGAATTAATCCAGCATCTTCTGAAATGATCATTCATAATGGAAATCTGAACCTGTCATTTCTCAAGCACAGGGCAGACTAAACTCTTGGCTTAGCAAGTGCTTTGTTCTGCTGCTCCCCACCAATGTAGCAACCCCTGTGACCTCTGACCCTTCCCAATGCTCTCCACATTGTGACTGCCTAACTTCCCCCCACTTCCTAACCATACTGCGCTCCTGAAGCTGTGCCTTTGCCCTATTTCCTCTGAATGGAATGCGCTGCATTTTCCTGAAAACTGCTAAGAACCCTTCATGTTATAGCGTGGTTTTTACTTGCTTCTAGCTCTAGGAAAGGTGAGACGGTTACTCTGAATATCCTTTATACCACCACCACCACACCCCTCACCCTCATCATGCCTCCCTCCTGCCAAGCTTAGTAATTTGCTATCTTTCCTTTCCAAATGCCTTTTATCCACTTGATAGATACTCATCATGCCCATACAGTTCACAAACTCATAGTTTACCAAGAATTCCACATAAAATACATAGATAAGGATGATAGTCTTAATGCTCTTCTTACTTTCCAAATTGTATACAATAAACACTCATTGCTTTTATAACAAAAGAAAAAAAGGCTAACAGTAATAGCATGTATCAAAGGGTGTATATTAAAAAAACAAAAATTCAAAGCACAATCTTTCTCATACCTTAAATTTCAAAATAAGCTGATCTTACCTGAAGATTGGAATGTTGAGATTATTGCCCGAGGCAATGTATGGTGCTTTGATGTTATGGCAGAAGAGGATGAAAGTGAGCAGCAGATAGTCAATATGGGATCTATGGACCGGCAGAAATATAAGCGGCAAATTCGTCTAGCAAAGAGAAGAGCACCAAACTTAAAATTCCAGTGTAAAGTTCAATCACGCTTTGCAACTGTCTGTTTGGTTTGAATCACTCAGACTGCTAGCCCATCGGTTACTAACGCTTTAAAAAACACAGTATTATGAATTCATTTCAATGTAATACTTATCTACCTAAAGACAAGAACTCTAACAACAAAAGTGAGTGGAGGAAGGAGAAGGGTGACCGAGAGTTCAAGCCGATCCCATGCCTCCCCTGAGGGGCAGCCCTGACTGTGTGAGACTCTGGACTCAGCCTGGTCTGCTTTGGAATCCTGGTGACTTGGGACCATTTCTCCATCTGTCTGCACCTCTATTTCATTACCAATAAAGTGGAGATTGTTCTACTTGATTTTCAAGGTTGTTACAAGGTAACTTACACCAGGAATCCTGCCTGAGGCCTTCCTTATCTCACTCCTCCTCCCCAAGTACACACTGCAAAAGGGGGAGCCTCCCCAGCTGGCCGAAATGCACAACAGTGTGTGTACAAGAGAACATCTGCGGAAGAACTCTCAAAACCACGCTGCAGACGTGGGGGAACGGAAAGGCAGGTTCACAGAAATTCTTGCCTCAGTCGCAGCTTTCACCATCTCCAGCTGGCCCTTGTGAATCTGAATGTTCCAGAAGAAGCTGTTGAACAGTTTTAGCAGCACCCACCCAGTCAGTCTGGAAGGAAATAAAAACAAGAGAACAGTATGATACACATATAATGCAGGCTTATGTGTATATGTAAATACAAGTAGTTAACTTGTGTCTACTGAAGCTTCTGAGCTTAACCCAAGAGTACCTGTAGACGACTTCGTGTGTGTGTGTGTGTGTGTGCACACATGTATAGGTAAATGACTTGTGTGTGTACACGCATGGGCATATCTCAATTGTGGAATCACACAGCTAACCTTATATAGTGACTCATATATGCCACACACAGAAGTATCTACTTCTGATGGACTCACACTTCACTCAGGTAACACTTCATACGTCAGAAGTGAACGTCCAGGCAAACATCTAGGGAACAGAATGACCCTTCTGGTGCACACAGGCCAGTCCTTTCAAGACAGGGACACGTGAAACCTGACTCACAGCAGTCTAGGAGGACAAACGTTAGCAGGAAGCCAGTGGCTGCTACCAACCAGCAGAGCCTGAAGCACCTCAAAGCCTACCCCAGGGCTACTGCACATGGGTGCTGAATAATAACAGAAGGAAGATCGGAACTTAACATCGAGTACATCAACACAAGTGTGGAACAGAGGGCGTCGTGCTAGGAGAAGGCAGTCCAGTGAGTCGGTCCTGCTTGCTCAAGACAGGAAGGTGCTTGCCAACCATCTTGTGCCTCACTTTTAATACCTGATCATCCCGGGCGAGACAGTGGCAACCATTTCTTGAAGAATCTTTTTGGCCTTCTTTTTCACCTTATTGACGGCTTTTGATTGCTGCTGGGCAGAACCGTCAGGGTTTAATTCAGCAGCCACTTCTGCAATTGCTTCTTGTACTCTGATTTGAACACAGAAAGACAAAGGAACTGGCTTTACACTACATTTTGTATTCAGCATTTTCTAAACGGCACTGTAAGTCACAACACAAAATGTACGTTCTCTTTAATACGTGGTAACACGAGAGAATAAACTCAAGCTGGAAGCACTTTTTCTGGCTGTCCATGAAATATCCAGAGATGCGAACTGATTTGGGAGCATTCCTAAATCAATGGCTCTCTGAGGCATCTGGAAGGTAGACTGAAGAATTTGACCCAATTCACTGGGGGACAACTCCATGCATTTAAACTTTCTGGCTGTGATGGGAGAGTCACAAAGAGGAATTCCACAAAGGAAAAAAAGATTATTCCTTTAGTCATATAATTCAGAAGCATTCAAACATCCACTGCCAAAGTAATTTATGATTTCTCTTTCTAAAGACCTAAATTACTATTGATGTATATCACGACCCCATTAAAACTATATGCAAATCTCTCTGGAAAGGATCAAAGGGGGACATAAATATTTATCATGCTTTCATTTTTTCCCAAATCAATCCAGTAATTTAAAAAATGGTTCAAGATAAAAATAGCACAAAGCAATAAGCAGTGAGGAAAAATGCAAATTTTATTATGCTTTTGTTATCGTTCATTAACTTAGGAGAGAAACCTAAGTAGGGTTTAACCACTTTTAACACTGCAGTTAGCACTCAAAACTGGATGGAATGAAACATACTTGCAGATTTGACTAGAAAATAGAATACATAATAATCCAATAGAGCTTCAAGTTTTCTCCCACTAGTGCTACTAATTTTAGACTAATGAAGTCTGGCAAAACTCCACATGGTCCTCTAATTCACTAATATGAAAAGACTCATTCCATAGGACAGGGGTACACCCAAGTGTACTCCCTGAGTGATGTTTCCCACATTCTGGCCAGGAATCTTTTCACAAGGAATTGACGCTTTAATTGTTACATTTCCATTATCAACTATTCACTTGTTCTTTCAATAAACATTTCTTGAGTACCTACTATGCACCCCCTCCCAGCACTGTTCAAGCCTTAACAACTACCCACCTACAAAAAACCCTTGTGTATTCAAAGCAGCCTTTCAATTCGTCCTCATCTCCCTCTCCCCAATGAAGCAAATCTCTGAAGCGGGCCCCAGCAATGAGACAGAACAGAACAACTCCTGCTCAGGAGTATCTATTGCAGCATCCCATCTGGGCTAAAGTCAGTTGCTGTCCCCAGCAAGCAAGCGCCTCTGAGAGCAAGGTCAGAATCTTACCAAGATTGTTATGATGACTTGCTAGCACCAGAGTATGTACGGGGGCACTCAGTAACTATCTGACAGACAGCAAAGCCACATCCCTTGTGGCTATAAAATAGGAAGTGCAGTGTCTCCAACATTGGTATCACAGAAAACTGGAAATATGTGCATCTCTAAACCTTCCTTTCATGTGGGATTAGAAACCCATCCAATTGCTAATCCATAAAACAAGTCTGTGACTCCCACATGGCACTGTTCACCAAAACCATCTGTTCTGCCCTTCTGCAGTTTCCTTCAGAGCTTAACATTTAATGTTTGGGAATACAAACCCTTCTTGAAATAGCGTTCCCGAGACACCGCGGATTAACAGAGGGGATTACTGGCCCACCCCCACTCCTGCCACCCCCTCCTGCCTCTCCCCACCTTGGCAACCGTGCTCCCGCCTTACCTAGTACTGTTCAGCACATTCTCGCTCACGTTGGTGGCAAACATGCCGTTGTGGACATCTCGCTCTTGAACAAAAAGAACATAGGAAAGCCGTCTTGCCAGCCATCCTCGGTGCCTGCAACGTGAAGGTGAGTTAGCAGGGAAGAGAAAGGTCTGAAACCAGTGGCTTCATCTATGCAGTGGCTTCCTCCTGTGAAAACAAAGCCTGATGGCGTCTGCTCCCAAGACCCAGAGGATCTCCTACAGCAGCCAATTCTCTTTAGGAGTACAGGATGCTGGGCAGCCCACTTTAGTCAGTTTTTCTCCTGTTCTCAGCTACAACGGAAACTTGGAAACTTTGCTAAATAATAACCCTTCTACAGTAACAAAAGAACAAAAATGTCTTACTTTGTTAATGCCATTAAGAAGGCAACTATGTTAAATGTTGTATTATATGTAGGATATACATAACATACATGTATCATATATGTGTGTGTGAGCATGCATGCACACGGAGTCATCCCTTAGCATCTGAAGGGACTGATTCCAGAACTCCCACAGGCAACAAAATGTGGGGGTGCTCACGCCTCTTATGTAAACTGGTACAGTAGCAGCATGTAATCTACTGCACAGCCTCCTACACACTTTAATTGTCTCTGGATTACATGTAAGACCTCTTACAAGGTAAACTGACTTAATCGTTGTTGTAATATGCTTTTTAGGAAATAATAAAAATCAAAATTATACATTTTCAGTTCAGGTACAATTCTTTTTCCCAAAAATATTTGATCTACTGTTGGTCAAATCCATAGATGTGGAACCAAGGAACAAGGAGCACTAACTGTATACAGATAAGCTATGCAGCTTACAATCATAGCTATGGGCCATAAAAAGATAAATTTGAAAATATTCTTAGCTAATATTAAGCCAGCTCTTAGCTACTCCTTTATTATCACAGTACCTCTTTCAAGGCAATCACTGGCTTTCCAGTTGAATCCATAAGGATGCTCAGTTGAGAGAGTCAAGTAGAACAGGCCAATGAACTGAATATCTGGATTCTGGATTCATGAAGCCCCTTTGCTTAGGCTGTTTCTTTAAAATGTTTTATTTTATATTTTATTTTAATGCAAACCCACAGTCACCTTACCTAAGAGATAGGGCGTGGTCCCAGCAGTGACAGTGACGTGTGGTGTTTACATGGGGGGATGGGGAGACTGATGTTGTAACCAGAATGCCAAACCTTCCTTAGGTAACCACTTGACATCATTTCTAATGATTATATAATGCTTTGCTACTATTTCCTTTTAATGACAGAGACAGGGGAAGAGTTTAAGCATAAGTTCACTCACTCTGAAAGGATCCAGAAGGCCCTGCCCTGAGGAACGTAACTCGAGAAAGCACTGTGCACGAACCACTTGCTCCTCCATCTCTCCTTCCTGCCCCCTTTGCCTCAATCGCTTGAAAATGTGTCCCATTATGTTACAGGTTCCCCCTAAACTCTTCAGTGAATGTTTTCAGAGCTACTACTGTAATATACAAAGTCTACGCTCCCTATGAAACCCCTTTGCGGCTGACTAGAAGCATTGTACATGTCAATATAGCAAATGTTATCTTTCCTAATTGCTTCCTAGGGCAACAAGAGCAACTTTTGGCTTTACTCATAAAATGTCTAGTTATGTAAAGAATAAAAGGCTTTCTCTTTTCTTAGGATTTTAATCATGTCAACCATGAGTAAAAAAGACAATAACAATAAAAAAAAAAAAAAAAACCTCAATGAACCACACAGCCCCTCCCTGTTTTAAATTTAGAGAGAGAGGGAAAAGAATAGCCTGGCAGTAGGAAACAATACATCCCTTGACTTTGACTGCAGTTCTATTAAAAAAAAAAAAATGAAAACTTTAGTACATGCAGAATTATGCTTGTGTGTGACCTCATTATCCATTATGAATACTAACATCAGAAAGCCTTCAAATTTAGGTATGCAACTTCTTGGGTCAATTTTTCATACAATTGCACCCCGGTTACCTACCGCAGGCATCTACTTCTGGAACTGGGAGCCTGTCTGGCCACTGCTTCTCTTGCATCAATGACACTAACACAACCTGCCAACCCTCCTTCCTTAGCCATTGGCCTGGATGCCTATCAAACAAAGGCCCCTTACTCTCACTGCAATGCTTACTAGCCCATCCCCATATGCCTGGAACTTGTAAGAATTCTAAGAAAAGTATTAGACAAATAATAAGTCAAAGAAAGTTTCCTTAATAGCAGAAAATATCTACTAAAACCCTATAGATGGGGCAGATTTTAGGCACTTGGACATTTTTGAATAATAAAATAGCCATATCAGACTACAAGACATCCAAACCTATACTAGTCATCAAATATTTCTTACATTTGGCACCCTTTATATGCAAAACCATTATATGGATAAAGTACCATCCGTAACATCTGCACTATCACAGACTTAAGTCTAGCACTGGTGACAGTAAGAAGTTTCTGTCGTATCTGTACTGCTTCTAATCTTTAGATTAAAACTCTCATGTCAGACGCCCATGCTCTATTAACTCTCAAAAACCATAAAGAGATCCACCTTTAAGTGTATCAATTGGCTATCATGAATTTTTTTTTGACATTTATTAGAAGTGTAAGAAGTTTCTTTTTACCTTGTGTGAGTTTCATTGATATAAATAACATTCCGCAAACCCAAAGACGGGATACTGGGGTTGAAAAACTTTTCCTATACAAAACAAAATAAACGGAAACATAAATACACAACTGGATGGTGGCCAAGAGCTCAGATTAAGAATTCTTGATGACTCTGAAAATTCAAGCACGATGTAAAGACATAGCCCCAAAACTCTGTGTGATGAAGATCAGCTATGCCTTACTGAAAAGAACTTTCAGGTCACAAACTCCAAATTAATCCTTAAAACCAAAGGAAACCCTGTCTCGCTCTCCATGCCCCACAAGGCTATCACCAAATTAAAACTACAGGTAGCATGAAACACTGAGAGAGTTCCCAGAATACAGCAATACTGTGCTAAGTAAGCACCATGCAGCTATTGTTAGATCACTAAATCTCTCAATAATCCTCACACATAAGAATTGTGAGAAAATGGAGACTGGTGAGGGTTTAGGAGTCAGTCTCAGAATCTGCTCCAAAGAGCATGGTCTTTCTCTCCCTGTATAATGACTGCCCACTTAATGAGAAAATGTGCAGCCTCAAGCCACCCTCTTTGTAGGTAGCCTCGAAAGATAATCCAGAGAGCCGTGCTGAAAAGATCAAGTCTACAGCTTTACCAGTCTGGGCTGAAAGAGAAATGTTCCACAAATAAAGGACCAAAAAGCATTGCCTACCCTCAAAAAAGATGTAAAACATATAGAAGTGAAATCTTTTTTCAGAAAAGAAAAATAATATTTCAGCCAAATAAAAAAATCACTACCAACATATTTTCAAACAATTTTTTTTTAAAAGAACATGCCATGGGAGAAATTTAAGACCAAGTTCAGTTCCATCAGGTTCTGCATGTAGGCAAAATATCATTATGTGATATCATCTATCCCCACTCCAAACCATCACCACTACCAATAATTTCTTATACTCTCTTCCAACTTAAGAATACACTGTAACATTACATTTAAGATACTGTTTTGGCTTGATATTGTAGCTAAAGTATTGTTTTGAGATAAGAGACCAGATCAAAAAGGAAAAGCCACACAGCCTTCTGTTTACATCTTTATTTCTTTTGGCCTGTTCTGAGCTGGCCTACTCCCAGTCCAGAACTTTCCATATCTTTCAATTCCACCAAATTCTTGCAGTAAGGCACCTGTGGTTTCAAAGAAGCAATATTTATGACAAAGCACCTTTAAGCAGACCTGAACAGTTCGTGGAAATAGCTCGGGCTCCACACAAATCTATCTCGGGTTAGTAAATCACTTTATTTTAGACTCAGAATTCTACTTCCTGCCAAGACAACCCAAATAGAAAATTCACACAGCACAGTTACCTATTCACACAGGTTATAAGGAACCTCTATAAATGGCAGATCTCCTACATCCTAACAACTGGCTCACCCCTCACAGAGCTTAACATCAAGAAAAATATTTTAAAAAATGAATCAGCTGGGTTGGCACTGTGGCATAGCAGGTAGAGCTGCTGCCTGTGGTGCCAGCATCCTATCTGGGCACGAGTTCATGTCCCAACTGCTCCTCTTCCAATCCAGCTCTCTGTTATGGCCTAGGACAGCAGCAGAAGAGGGCCCAAGTCCTTGGGCCCCTGCACCCATGTGGGAGACCCGGAAGAATCTCCTGGCTCTTGGCTTCAGATCAGCTCAGTTTAGCTGTTGCAGCCATTTGGGGAGTGAACCAGCAGATGGAAGACCTCTCTCTGTCTCTCCCTCTCTCTGTAACTCTACCTCTCAAATAAATAAATCCATATAAAAAAAATGCATCAGCTATTTCAGGACACAGCCACATGAACCTATGTTTCTGTGCTAATGTGGCCCACGCCAGCTGCCCTAAGCAGCACCTCTCACCCAGTCGAGTCTTCTAAACCACTGCACTGGACAGTGGAAGACACTGCATAGCTTCGTTTTATATCAAAATACAAACAAACCTACCCACGTTCTTTCGTCAACTTTCCCCCTAACGTTTTAGTGACTTTTCTTCAATATCGCAGCAACAGACAACCCGGGAACAGAAATGTGACACAAGCTAAGAGCGAAGTCACAGCTTTAACTCTTCTTCCGTCCCACTGTCTTCCTCCCATCAGTCTAGGATTCGAACGTTAAGTGCCGATGTCCAGCATCTGGGGTGGGCATTGTGGTGCAGCAGATCAAGCTGCTGCTTGGAAGGCCTGCATTCCACAGTGGAGTGCCGGCTGCAGTCCCAGGGCCTCTGTTTCCAACTGCGCATTGCTGATAACGCATCTTGGAAGGCAGCAGAAGGTGACGCAAGTGCCTGGGTCCCTGTCACCCACACGGGAGACCCAGATGGCTTCCAGGCTCTTTGCCTTAGGCTGGTCCAGCCCTGACTGTTCTGGGCATTTGGGAAGTGAACCAGCAGATGAATGATCGATCTCTCTCTCTCTCTCTCTCTCTCTCTCTATCCTTCCTTCCTCTCTTCTGCTCTCTCTCCCTCCCTCTCAGGCTCTGCCTTTTAAGTAGACAAAAATAAATATTTTTTTAAATATGAGGGTTTACAGATATAAAACAATAAAATTCAACATCTAGAAGTTACATGAAGGTTCCCAGTAACTCTCTAGAAGAGAAACTGAAAATAAGATCTATTCTAAAAAAAATCACACTAAAACTACAAAAGAATCAGAATATTATCAAGTATTGATTATGAGACTAATATTTGTTGAATAAAACAACAGAAAGAAAAATCAAATCAACACTTTTACGGGGGATACTGGCTAAATTTATAAATGTGGGTCTCAGAAAATATGAACTCACACAAAGTGAGAACCCTGGGTCACATATTTCACCCTGGGCACTAAAGATCCCCACGCAGCACCATGCTTACCCAGCTCTGGGGGGTGCAGGAATAGCAACATCTTCCGACAAACGGCCTCTTGCGGCTCATCAGGCTTTCTTTCCATTTTAAGGTTGCAGATCTGAAGACGGTAGGTCTGAAACCATATTCACCCTAATAAATATTAAGCAAGAAAAACTGCCTAAGTGGCAAGAAAATGATACTTGTCCATTTGATCTCTACAAGGAAGACATTTCTATAGTGGAGAATTCTGCGGACGTGTTTGTCTTCGGTGGTACAACCACGTCTGTTTCACAGGGTGGGTTTTCCCTGGCCAGCCACCTCCACGATCAACACTCAGACACAAGCTTGGGACATAAACAAGAAGTCAATGCCTGAGAACAGCAATCACTAATAACAACCGCAGCACAAGCAAGGCGGAGTTCAAAGCCTAGTGAGTTGTGGAAGTCAAATGGGCTTCTACAGAGGAAGAATTTCCGAATCCTGGACCCCAAGGCTGACGGTTAACCTTTTCTCCTTTCAAGCCACTCCCACAACAGAACTACAAAGACCTTAGGTGGTAAGAAGTTGTCACGCTACAGCTAAAAATATTTAACTTTGTATGAAAACAAAGTACACTCATGTAACATTCCTGTATCTTTTCAAGAAATTTTAAAAGCTGGACTTTAAATTATATTATAGTTGTAGTGTTCAATTAGGGTCAAACCCGGATCTTCTGCTCTAACAATTTTTCTTCTGATTTTGATCGAAGTAGTTGTTCAAATCTCACAGAAATAACAATCTCAAAGTAAGCAAAGAAAAAATATTTACATAAAGCAGAGAGTGTTTGAGATAAGATTTAAAACATGTCATGTTCTGCTGAAATAAGGAAAACAAGACAAGCAAAGCCATGTCCTTTGTAATGGATCCACACTAGAGTTTTCTGTTTGAAGCTCACGTCCATTAGAAAATCTGTGCTTATTAAATACAACTATGGGAAGTACATGATGAGAGAAAGGAAAAAAGGAAATTCCGCCCAAAACAACAACGAGGGTTTCTTGTTTCCCATGCAAGAGTTCTGCTTTTTGACATAATCACTGCACTTACATTTTCCACCAGATTGCTTTTTTCCCAATTAATGCTAATACCAAAAAATTTTAAATATTGTGAGACTTCATAAACACACGCAACACTTGGGAGACTTCTTCCACAGCTGTCAACCTACATTACGCCCACTGCTGCCAACCTCTCCACCCCCGCCAGCAACACTGAAACGGACAGTCTCGGCTGAATTCTTTTAATTCTTATCTGACACTTACCCACTCCTCACTGGCGTGCTTGCATCGACCAAGGCTGTAGTCCGAGGAATTCGGAAGATAAGAAACATCTATTGTGCCAAGGGTCAGTGCAGATTCATCCATGTCACAAAGTGTAACTCCCAAATCATGTGCTATAAAAAATATATACATGTATCAGGCCGATGAAGAACCCAGACAGTAAATATCAGAACTCAAAATCCTGACTTCTCTATTATTTTGCTCTATAATAGGATAGCAATTGAACTAACTGTATACTTTACCATATTAAGTCATAATGTAAAAACAGGCTTTATGTGTTTAGATAAACTCAAACTGCCCTTATTCAAAAAATAAAAATGAGCATTTGTATCAGAAATCTCCCTGAATATATAAGGATATACTTGTATCCTTAGATCTCCTGAAAAAAAAAAATTCCTATGAAAAGTTATTTGCAAACGTGAGAGTTTGTTTCAGATAGGCAAAAAAGGCTTATTTCATTTTTGTTAATAACTGAATAGTTTGAAGGAGGATGAAGACATGTGTCTATTTAATTAAACATTTGTATGCCCACAAATGACAATTTTTTTAAGATACTGGGAATTTTCCCTCATACATATTTATGCAAGGCAAAATACCGAAAAGCGAATAGAGTACTTCTAAAGTTTCCCACTGAAACTGATTTAAGCTTGATTTTCTCATGATACCTTAAAAGAAACAATGTTTGCACTCTCAACTACAAAGACGGAAAAGAAAAACACATTATTACGCAACATGAGTTTTATCCACTTGCACCTTTTTCCAGGAGCCTTTCCTACTCTGAGGGAAGAGTGCACTCCCAGAATACACGGAAATTACCCTAAAATACAAACGCTTCTTAACAGAATCGCCATCCTCAAATTATTTTAGCTTTTGGCCCTTTCTCACTTGGCTTTCAAGGACTGCTTTCAAATCGGAGCGGCCGGGGGCAGGGCGCTCCTGTGGGGCTATCCTGATGTCTGCACAACCCCCGCAGGCGCCAGCCTCTGCCCGCTGACACGGGTCCTCCACCACGCAGCACCCGTAGCAATGGGACAGTAACCGAGGGCAGCGAAGAGCGAGGCGATGCACCTGGCGGGAAGGGCGTTCCTCCGAATTCTAAAGCAAAGATTCAGCACCCGGCTCTCCGCTCCGGGTGGAGGACGGCCATTCAACACGGGGAGCCGCTGCCGCCTGGGAAAGAGGAGACCAAAGGGAGACTCGCGCCAATAGGAAGTCCGCGCTGTGCTCCTCCTCCCTCCGCGCAGGGTTTACCCAAGGTCAAGGGGTGGGGGGAACCCCATCCCGCAGGCTCCACGTGGGCCGAGAGGAGCGGACCGCGAGCTCCGACAGGGGCAGAGGCAGGGGCCGCTCTGAAGTCTAAATCCTCCACCGTGTGAACTGTGCCTCGGCTTCCCCGTCTGGAAAATGGGCACACGACTGATCTCACCTCCTGGATGGGCGCGGGGACTGACCGAGGGGTACAAGGCGTCCAGCGCAGCGCGGAACACGCAGTGAGCGCCCAGTGCAACCCACGGCGGCCGCTGTCACCGGATTATCCCCAGCACCAGCTGCTCTGAGAGCCCCCGCGGCACGAACCGGCCGGCAGCGCCCTCGCCCCTTCGGGCGCTGGGGGCACTGCGTCCACAGGACACCCCCTCCTCCGCAGGGGAACCCATCCCGCCGCCTGGTCTCCCCGGAGAGAGAACAAGGCTGGCTCCCACGCCAGCACGAGCCCGGCCCATTTCTCAGGGGGAACCCCCGGGCTCGGGGGAGGGGGCCAGGGGGACACGGACAGCCCGGCAACTTGCAGGAGTCGCGCCAGGTCCGGGGACGAGGGGCGACGACGCACCTGCCCCGGCGCTCGCCTGTGCCGCCTCCCGCAGCCTGCAACAGCCCTCGCGTCTCCGCCCGGCAGCTCCGGCTTCGGGGGCAGCCGCTGCCAGCACTTCACGTCTCAGCCAGCGCCTGCTGCAGTGTCGCGCCCTGATGACGCCATGGGCGCGCTGGAGTGATGAGGCGGGGGCGGGGCCCTGCGCGGGACGCCGGCCGGGTGGCCTGCGTGTCGTGCGTGGGCCCGACAGCGGTGGGCGTGCACGCGCGTGGAGGAGGGTGCTGAGGTTGGTTTGTGCGTGCTGTCCACACGGAGGGCTGCGCTGCCTGGGCCGTGCGAGTGGGCGTCTGTGTGTGTGTGTGTGTGTGTAAGTCCGCACCGTGGGGATGTGGGTCCGGCCGGGCCGTGGTGCGCGTGCGTGGGCTGTCGGTAGATGTGTAGACGTGTGCTGTTTTACGGGCTTTGTAAGACCGCGTAGAAGGCACTCAGGACGGGAGAGGCGGGGCTTGCGGATGGTCCTGCTGTGTGATTTTTCAAAGACTGGCTGAGTGCGTTTTTTGTTTAAGGAGGAAAATGCACCCTATAAAGTGCAACTACGATTTATGAGAAAAAATAAAATTCTGTAAAAAGCCTGAAGGAGGCTGAGTCCAGATTAGCCCTTCACACCAAATAATACGGTGCGAGGAGGTTCTTTCACGATGCTTGTCAATAGCATGAATTTGCAATGTCTCTTCTAAACCCATCCCAAAATGTAAACATACTTTTCTTTTGAAACAACCAAAAATAATAGGAGTGGGTATTCATAAATGTCTAAGAAAATGCTCTCCTTTGAGTTCAAAGGTCCTGTGTTGATTCAACCTCACACATACTTTCCCAACAGGCACGCACACGGACGGATGGACTCGGGGACTATATGCTGACTAGAACCAAGTGAGCTCTGATCCCAAACACCCTGAAAACGTTTAGAGGCCCCTGCCAAAGATGGTCATCAAAAGCATTAGTGAATTAGAAGGAAAAGGATCATTAAGACATGATCCCTGCCCTTAAGTCCCTGGTTCCAGTCCTTGTCCCTTCTACACACAGTAACCCTAATCCCCTGAGACATTCATGCATGTCCACACAGCTCCTCAAAATCTGAACTCCCAAGTCTGGCACAGGAGATCCCCACCCAGTCTTGTTCAGGAGTGTCTGTCTGTCTCTCTCTCTCTCTCTCCCCCTTGGTCTGGACAGCTCACGGGCACTCACATCCCTAATTCTGTTCACGCCATCCTCTGTGAAATTCTATAATTCTATAGCTCCTTCCTAAACTAGTTCTACAACCTTTCCCAAAATGGCTCCAGCCCTGGATAATCACACTCTCCTGTGAAATCGTGACCGATCTATCAAGGTGCCACACTCAGAGTGTTTAATCAGCTCGTGTCCGTCTTCCACATGATTGCAAACTCATCCCATCAGGGGCTTGCTTCATCTGCTAAACACCACAATGCCTTGTTATAGTAAACAATAATATTTGCTGAAGGGAAGAAACAAGAAAAGCAAGAATCCTTTCTCCTGAATTTGCAATGTCTCTTTCTAAACCCATCCCAAAATGTAAACATACTTTTCTTTTGAAACAACCAAAAATAATAGGAGTGAGTATTCATAAATGTTTAAGAAAATGCTCTCCTTTGAGTTCAAAGGTCCTGTGTTGATTCAACCTCACACATACTTTCCCAACAGGCACACACACAGACGGATGGACTCCGGGACTATATGCTGACTAGAACCAAGTGAGCTCTGATCCCAAACACCCTGAAAACGTTTAGAGGCCCCTGCCAAAGATAAAGACAGAGAGGAGAAAACAGAGAAACCTCAGGATCTAAAGTCACTGCTGAAGTCACTGGAAGAAATGGAGTTAGGGACAGTGTCACAGGAAGCTTATGATGTGAGCCCGAGTGGGCAATCAGAGTGTCTTACGCTGAGTTCATTGGTAGGCAGGTCTTCTGTAACAGTCATTGTGTAAGGGTTACTGCACTTTTGGAGGAGGTGGATTACAATGGCAGATGTTTCAGGTTCCTCCATTGTTTTGGAAACAGATGACACCCTCAGCATGAGAATTACTAATTTATAGTAATCCAATCTAGCCCGCCAAGATGGGAGAGACAGAACTGAATTCACTCTCCTGCCCAAAAACAACTAAAAGCAAAATGCAAATAAACAGGCAAATATAAAAATGGCTTTCACGTATTGGACATGGGGGCCGGCACTGTGGCATAGCAGAAAAAGCCAGGAAGTCCATCCAGGACTCCCTTGTGGGTGGCAGGGACAAGCAGAGCAACGGAGACTAGAACCAGCATGCTAATAGGGGATGCCGGCGTTGGCGTCGCAAGCAGTGGCTTAACCTGGCCCTTCTGGGTCCCATCTTAAACTGGAATCGTTAGCACATTCATGTGAGAAAGCTAAGCAAAGCCAGAGAAAAAAAAACACATGTAAAGAGAAGTTCGAACAAGGGCTTGAGCTCGCACAGGCCAGGAAATTATTCCTATTTCAACAAGGCAGAGTGGAAGGCACTCAATGACATAGATGACCAAGGAGTAGTGCCTGATCCAGGCACCCAGACAGGAAACTTCCTACTTCATGACGAGAACAGTCTTGCCTCAGTGGTGGGGCAAAATTAGTCTTAGAGAAAATGCTACTGCATTTGCTAACAGATCTTATGAGCCAACCCCACAAGAATAAAAGTGTTTCCAAGAACAAAATAGCCCAAACAAAGCATAGAAATACTTACATCAAAAATGTCCAGCACTTAATGAGGTAAATGCACAATGTCTAAGATCTAATCAAAATTACCAGGCATGAGAAAAGAAGCAGGAGAAAATGACTCATAGAGAGGGGAAAACAAAAATCAATTGAAAGGGGCCAACATTGTGGCACACAAGGTTAGGCTGCCACTGGCAATGACAGCATCCCCTGTGAGTGTCAGTTCAAGACCTGGCTGCTCCACTTTTGATCCACCTCCCCAGTAAAGTGCCTGGGAAAGCAGCAGGAGATGTCTCAGGTACCTGGGCCCTTGACACACACACGCGGGACCCTTACAAAATTCCTGGCTTCTCCCTGGCCTAGCCCCAGCCCTTGCAGCCATCTGGGAAATGAACCAATGGATGGACGATCAATTGATCTCTCTCTCTCTCTCTCCAACTGCCTTTCAACTAAGTAAATCTTTTTAAGAAAATCTATTGACAAAATCCTAGAAATGACAAAGGTCATAGTAGAAAATGACATTAAGAAAGTAATCATAACTATATTCAATATGTCTAGAGAAGAAATTGAGCACGTTAAATAGGGATGTGGAAAATCTTCAGAAAAAATATCAGACCAAACAATGGATTATATGATCATTGAGTTTTCACTTGAGTACCTGCACACACACACACACTCACACACACACACACTCCTCTATAGGAACAGCAGATTCAACATTAACAAAAAATAGTCAAGAACCTTAACACGTTGTGATAGAAATTACCTAACATGAAATACTGAGTGGAAAAAGAAATCCTGCAAATCCAAATGAGCAGAGGACCGGGGAGCTCAGTAAACAGGTCATTGCAGTCCCTGACATGACAAGGAGAAACAGTGGCAGGAGAGGCTCAAGGAGGGCAGAAAACTAATTGTACAAATGCTGGATGGAAACTTCCAAATCTGATGACAACTATCAACTCCCAAATCCAAGAGCTCCAACAAACTCAGCAGAAGTGTGACAAAAACTATGCCAAAGAATATCACAATAAAACTGCCCGAAATCAGTAATGAAGGTAGAACCTTAAAAACAATTGGGATAAAACAGACATGACTGTACAGAGGGACAGAAATAGAAATGACAGTCAACTTCTCATCAGAGAGGAAGCAGCTTAAAGTAGTGAATGAAAATACTTTCAGAATTCGTTCTCTTAATCCTCATATGTATAATTGTAAAAAAAAAAAACCTTTTGCACCAAAATAAATTTTTAATTCAATTTTTCATGAATTTTTTAAAGTCCCCCTGTATTTCAGCATAAGATAAGATAAAGACATTCTGACACGTAAGTGCTGAAAGAATTCATCACCAGTAGACTTGCACTACAATAGATAGTTATTCTTCAGGCAAAAAGAAAATGCTACCAAATAGAAATCTGAAGCTACACAAAGACATTAAGGGCTTAAAAAACCATAAATATGAGTACAGTGGTAAATAATTATTTTCTTTTTTTAAAAAAGAAAAGCCTTTAGAAAGCAGCTTATGGCAAAATTAAGAACAATACTTGTAGAGATGAAGTGTATCACAACGGCACAGAGTCCCCAGGAAGGACAGACGCAAGGTAGAGGGGCAGGGACTTGCATCTAAGCCACACAATCCCCACACTCCTGCCAATAACTCACACCGCCTTCCTGGTAGTCCCTGTTCAGTAGGCTTCCTTCCAGGGTGATCCACATTCATTAACCGAAACTTACCTGACAAACTGCTGCAGACACACCTAAGTAAACTAGTAATTCTCTGCATGAATATTGTGAGAACATTGCTAACTGACCCTCCAAAATCCAACGACCAAAATGCCTATGATATGCCCGATATAAAAATATAACAGTTATTCTATCCAAAACTTTTAAAGGGAATAGTTTGTTATGCTTTATTCCTTGTGCACCCATGCTGTTCTTTTATCTCCTTTTCTCCAGGCTCCTTGTGTTTATCTATTCAGTTAATATTTGTAGAACATCTACTTCATGCCAAATACTCTGTTGTAGTTCCAGCTTTGGACACCATAGCACAATACTTCTTCCCTTAGAGCTTACAGTCGAGTATACTTACTCTACTTCTGCTTAATTGTGAATCAGCATCAAGTTCATTGGTGTGTAGCTTCTAGGATTCTCTTGGTTGATTCGCAGCAGGCACTGAGACCTACCTGTCTTAGTATCTATTTGCTCTCTCTTACTCTGTTCAGAGTGATCTCTTGCTTAGCTCCGAGACAAGAATGAATCAAGGTATCTAAGTCAATTATGATAATCATGTTCCTTAACATGGCACTGCCCCTGCAGCCAGGTCAGTCGCATGACCCAGTTCTGGGCAGTGTGACCTGAGAGAGAGGGAAACTGAAGATTTCTGGAGCATGGCTTTCCCAATCCAAGAGAATGGATACAGCCCCACCCCTCCCATTTTCAGTGTAAAGTGTCCCAAGCCAGCACTGCCAATCACAGACCTCTGGATTTTGTCAACTCTTTTCCTGTTGAAACCACTGTAATCCTGTCTTCTGTGACTCTCAGGCAAATGGATTCCTGATGCATATTTAATTTTGAGTGCAGATCTCACTGCTAGAATGACTCAAGCATATGACAAAGTAAATAAATGAGAGAGTTTGGAAATAGCCTCTGCCAGGGTATCATGCTGAGAGATGGCAGTGGAGTTGACTTCAGAGTCTGCTTTTTAGAAAGGACCTTAGACGAGAAGAGAATGGAGACTTTTCAACATTGGTGTGACCGTGGGGCTGAAAACAGCTTCGTCAGGAAATCAATCAGCACACTAAACTTCAAATAAGAGACACCAAAGGATGGTTGGAATACTAAGTATGGTGATGATGGAAACAATCTAGAACTGCCCCTCACACCTGAACTGCGAATTGTACTGCCCATCACACGTGTGTGGGTTTATGGAGTTCATAATTCACAGTTGAATTTGGAGCAGCAAATGATGAATAGCCCACCAGTTTCTAGAGAAAGCAGGGTTCTCTCCACACTGCCGCACCAAGAAGAGTTAGGTGGTTTCAATCTGTTGCTCCCCAGCTAAAATATTATGATTTTTTTTAGTTTTTTAAAATTAAATTATTTATTTGAAAGTCAGAGTTACATAGAGAGAGGAGAGAGAGACAGAGAGAGAGAGAGAGAGAGAGAGAGAGAGAGAGAGAGAGAAGGGGAGTTATCCATCCAATGGTTCACTCCCCAATTGGCCGCAGCGGCCAGAGCTGCACCGGTCCAAAGCCAGGCACCAGAAGCTTCCTCCGGGTCTCCCACACAGGTGCAGGGTCCCAAGGACTTGGACCTTCTTCCACTGCTTTACCAGGCCACAGCAGAGAGCTGGATCGGAAGTGGAGCAGCAGGGACTAGAATTGGCACCCATATGGGATGTCAGCGCTTCAGACCAGGGCATTAACCCATGACACCACAGTGCCGGCCCCTGTTTGCTCTTACATATAGAATTTTTTTGCCAAATTTTTTATTTATTTGTTTGTTTTGTTTTGTTTGTTTGCTTTTTCATTCACTGGTTCACTCTCCAAATGTGAACAACAGCTAGGGCCAGGCCAGGCTAGGAATCTAGAATTCCAGCTGCATTTCTTATGTGGGTGGCAGGAACCCAAGGACTTGAGCCATCACCATGCCTCCCAATGGGCACTGGGAGTAGGGGGGAGGGGTGGTGTTGTGGTGGCACAGCAAGTTAAGGCACAGCCTACCATACCAGCATCCCATATGACTGCCTGTTTGAATCCCAGCTGCTTCCCTTGTGACCCAGCTCCCCCCTAATGCACCTAGGAAAGTAGTGGAAGATTACCCAAGTACTTGGGCCCCTGCCACCCACATGGGAGACCCTGATGGAATTTCAGGCTCCTGGCTTTGGCCTAGCCCCAGGCTGTTGCAGTTGTTTGGAGAGTGAACCAGCGGATGAAAGATCTCTCTCTCTCTCTGTCTCTTGTGTCTCCCTCTCTCTCTGTAACCCTGCCTTTCAAATAAATAAAATAAATCTAAAGAAAAAAAAATAACAGAGCAGGGAATTGAACCCAAGCACTCCAATATGAGATGAAGGAAGTATACTAGGATTTCAGCCTGGGGAGGAGGGCAGAAACAAACAGAACGGAAAATGAAAAAATTTTTCCAAAGACCAAAGTCAGTTATAGTGAGACATAGTGTCTAAAGAAAGCAGGAAGCCCAGGTCCAAGTCAGACACCCACTGGGACTTGGGAGGTCCATGTGACAAAGACATTCAGGGCAATAGTCCCTCAGGACAGTCATTAACCATACCTGAGTCTGCACTCAGGCTTCTTGGAAGTCCATCGTGGAATCTCCTTGTGGATAGAGTGCATGACAAGGCTCAGCCCCCCAGGAAAGGGGCATGGCAGGAACTCGGATACTGGGCTTCAAGCCGCTGTGTCTCTGGGCTGGGCACCAGTTCTACAGGGCAACTGGGACTCAGAGAGAGTAACTAGCCGAGCAGGATAGTTAAGAAATTAGTTTGTATTTTTTTTAACAACTGTTGGCTTGTTCTCAAAGAATGGAAGGTATCTCCCAGCTCTCTCTAGGGTGTAGGCAGGTTCTGTGGTTTAAGTTCTCCAAGCCCTTGAGGGAGATGAGCAGTGGCAATTAGCAGCCTTTTTGTGATGGAAAGCCAAATGCCAGAAGCTGCATGGCTGGAGTTGGTAACCAAGTAGATAAAACCTAATGGGCATTTGCTTTTACCCTGCAGACCAGGTTATCTGAGAAGGGAGTTGGGGCCAGGATGGTCCAGGCAGGGAGAAGAGACAAGAGCTGAGGGGGATAAGTGTGAGGCGGCTCTGATGCAAGATGCTAGAGGTACAGGTCTTGGTGAAGGAGGGCCGAGTGTGACTAGTGAATGTACAGTCTTAGGATCCTCGGTGTGGGGCCCTGTGGCTGAGCAGACCACCAAGAAAATGGAGCTCCATGGACCTCGCAGAACCAGACCACAAGCAATGATGAAGGAGACCAGTCCAAACCAAACCCAGGCCTCCACTCACAACACAAACACTAGGCTGGGGGGTAAGGCGCAGAATCCCTGAAATGATCACCATCTGGCATCTGTGGAACCTTGAAATAAGCTTTGTAAAGACAGATTCGTTTGACATCTGTTCATTCCCTACACACTGACCGAGAGAGCCTGTCTACTGCTGGTATCTTGCTGAGTGTTGAAGATACACAGATGCCAATGTCACCCATAGACCCTACCATCTGGAATTAATAGTCTAAAGGGCTAGGGCAGGTGGGAGTGGGAATAGTAGGGGAAGCGATAATCAACAAATAGACAAAATAAGAAAAGTGCAATAAAAATCCAAACAGCATCTGTCACACAGAATAGCAGAGGTGATGGACGTTAGATGAGGGGGGTGATGGGGCCCTGGAAGGGAAGAGCAGCTACACGGAGATGGGGGTGTGCAGAGGACGTGACCATGATGGGAGTCTGGAGAAGACCTCTCCACCGAGAGGGGGCCAGGCACTCGGAAGCCTGGGGAGGACAGAGCAGAGCCCCAGTGTGGCCGGAGTGGAATCCAGGGAAAGGCCTGGATGGGCGAGGGTGGACCATCAGAGGGCCCTGGGAGAGCAGGGCCTTTTAGGCCACAGGGATAGGTTTGGGGCATTGAAATAAAGTTGTGACACAAAGTCCCTCATGAAGGTCATAGGGAATTCACATACCTTTTACCTTGTTAGCTAAAAGAAGGGTGACTCAAAATCAAAGCCCAGACCTCTGAACTTGATTAATTTGGAGACGAGCAGCAGGCAGTGTGTGACTCTGGAATCGTGGTGGATGCAGGAGCCTGCCTCGGGGGACAGGCTGGACATAGCATCTAGGCAAAGTACATCTTTTCAAGGTTTGCTTATTTGATAGGTAGAGTGACAGAGTCAGAAACAGAGACCAATCTTCCATCCTTTGCTTCACCCTCCAAATACCCACAACAGCTGAGGCTGGGCCAGGGACTCCATCTGGGTCTCTCATATGTGTGGCAGGGTCCCAAGGACTTGGCCCATCATCTGCTGCCTCCCAGGTGCATAAGCAGGAAGCTGGATTGGAAGTGCAGAGTAGCCAAGACTCAAACCCCTACTCTGATACAGGATGCGGGTGTCCCAAGTGGCTTAATCTGCTCTACCACAATGCTCATCCCAAGGTAGCGTCCATTTTGTAATCTGTCCTTTATTGAGCACTTACTATGTGCCAGGCACTGTTGTGAGTACTCTATAGGCATTGTCTCAAGCAGTTCTCTGTGGCACCTCTGGCACCAACAGGAAAACAGAACCCAGTTTAGTGGAACTTAACTATTGAGAGTGACTTAGAAAGGCCTGGGGGTTGCTGAAAGAATGAAAGAGCGTGGTGAGCAATCACACAGGTTGGCTGGGGTGGCAAAGCAAGGTGTTAACAGAGCCAGGAGCTGGAGCCACCTGGGGAACCACTGGGACAAAGAGAGGATGCCCGGGAGTGTGAGAAGCCCAAAGCTGTCACAACTGGGGAGTCCATCTGAGAAAGAGGGCAATACTTTGGTGTTGACTCCCTTTCTGCTCTCCTGGCACCTGCCAGCACCACCTGGTGTTAGAATCAAGCTGCAAGGGAGCCTGGGAAATGAGTTTGCAGAGGAGTCCCCTCAGGGACACAGCAGAGCTGGGAAGAATGGGGAATGGGTCTCAAGGCACAGAGGCAAAAGAGGGGCCCCATGGGATAGGAAGCATCGTTGTCCCATTTTTCAGACAAGGAAGCTGAGGCACAAGGAAATGTCAAGTGAAACTGCCAAGGAGCAGAACTCCAATTTGTATTCTGATCTATCTGATTCTAGACCCCGAGCCTGGAACTAAGATATTAATTAGCCAGCCTAGGTAGGAGCCTGGTAACCAGGGCTGGGGTACCACCTCTTGGGCTTGGGGGGAAAATCACATGTTAGGGATAAGGCTACTCTGCGGCAGAGCTGAGGGAGCTGATGCTCAGAGCGGGTTGCTTCTAAGCCGGGCTGCTAGTTGGGACATCAGAGGACTGACCCCAAGTCCTTCTGCCCCAGTGTCTGAGAGCTCTGCGAAGGCCACGCAGCCAGCCTGGTTTCCTGGCCTGAGTCTGCTCCTCCCTGGCTGGGTGGGCAAGCTCTGTAACCTCACCAAGCCCCAGTTTCCTCATTTTGAAAATGGGTTTATTGCCAGCACTGGGGCGCCTGTGATGCCCATATGCCATTTTAGGGTACCAGTTCAACTCCTGGCTGCTCTGCTTCCAATCCAGCTCCCTGCTAATGTACCTGGGAAATCAGTAGAAGATGGGCCAATCCTGGAGACCCTGCCAACCATGTGAGAGACCCGGATGGAGTTCTAGACTCATGGC